ATTAGGTAGCTAATAGAGAGTAGGCTTATTAAGGTACCTTTTTATAGAATATTATTATATAATTCTAAGGTAGTCTTAAGGCTTTTTATAGTAATAATAGCTATTCTATAAGTAGTAGGTTTTAAGATAGTATTAATAAGACTTTAAATACTAAAGCCTAAGTAAAAGGATAAGTCCTTTATAAGTTCTTTATAGCCTAAGATATAGCTAGATATACTAAAGTTAAATAGTATTAGTTTTTAATATAATAATATAAAAAGACTAAAATCTTATCTAGGTTTAATACCTATAAGAATACTATCTACTTTAAGTTAACTAAAGTATTATAGGCTTTAAAAGATAATAAAAATAAGTTAGGCTAGTTTAAAGTCTATAAAGAGACTTATATACTATCTAAAGTTAACCTTTTTATATTTATATTTATTATTATATTTCTTAATTAAGTATTAATATTTTCTATTTTATTAAAATAAAAAGGGTAGGTTTATTAAATAGAGTTTAAGGTATAGCTTTTAATATTACTTATTAAAGTAACCTAGAAGCTTATAAAAAAAATAAAAGTACTTAATAGTATTAAGTTTTATTATATTATAAAGGGAATACCCTTTAATAGCTATTATAATAACTAAAGTAGCTTACTACTTAGACTTTTTATTATTCTATTATTTAAGCTTAATAAGGTTAGTTATAACTATAACTACCTATATAAATATAATTATAAGAATTATAATAGTATTATTAGTTTACTTTAAAATAAGATAAAAGGCTATCTTAATAGTATAAAAGTTAAATTCTTTATTAAGACTATTAATAAAAAGATATATTATTAAAGCCTTAAAGACTTTAAAGTCTTTATTAAGAAATTACTATTTAGCCTAAGTATTAATAAATACTATAGTAAGTTTCTTAATAGATCTATATTAAATAAGGATTAATATTAAAAGATAATTAGTTATAGTTTAAAAGATAATAATACCTTTTAGTTTAAAATACTTCTTAAAGGCTATAATTATATTTAATATTATAACCTTATTTTTAATAAGGCTATAAATATATTTTTTAAGGCTTATATTAATAAGAGTAATAATATAAACCTAGTTTTATATTTATTCTTAAATAAGATCCTTTATAATCTTACTACTATAAGCCTTAGTTAAGATAAAGCTATTTTTTTAACCTTTTAGTAGTAATCTATTAAGATTATTAAGTCTTAATATATTAATTATCTTTAGCTTCTATTTAACTTAACTACTTTTAAATTTAAGTTTTAAAATATTTAATACCTTCTTTAATATTAAAAATATAATATTAAATAATAAAGTAAATAATAAGGCTATAAAAAAATCTTAGTTTATATATAAAAGTTAAGTTACTAATAGTATTACCTACTAAAGGAGTAGAACTTTAAGATAATAAGGAGGATAATAGGCTAAGTATATAGTCTTTCTTTTTAAACTAAATATTTTATATTTATTTAAAGGTAAAAAATATTTAAGTAAATAATAAGGAATTCTTCTTACTAAGTAAGTAGTTACTATATACCTTTTATAGTAGTTAAGACTATAGATTATAGTAAGTAATCTAGTAAGTATATTTAGAACTATAGATTATAGTAAATAATCTAATAAGTATATCTATTTAAAGGTTATAACTATATTAAGTAAATTTATATTATAATATATATAAAATAAATATATAGAGTCTATATATAAATTACTAAGTAAGGTATAATAATAGAATTTCTTTTTCTTTATATAGAATTTTTATAGTAGATAGACTTATTAGATATACTCTAAATTAACTAAAGTTTAGGGTCTTTCCTTTTCCTATATATAAGGAGTTATAAATTTCTTAAGTTTTATAGTAAATATTAGCTTATATAGATAGTAGGTAAAAGGTAAATTTAGTAAGAAATTAATACTTTCCTTTATTTTATTAGTAGCTTTTATAATATAAGCACTACTAGGCTTATAACCTATTATAACTAATAGGGTATATATAGAGTAAGAGGTAAAGTTATTATATTATATAACTTCTATTTAGTTATATAGTATAGGTAAGTGCTAGATATACTAGGTAATGGGAGATCGTTCTTCCGGCTTTAGAGCCGCCTGTTATCAATAGTACCTATATTAAGGCTTTTATCTATATAAAGGATTAAAAAAGGTTTTTTAATAGGAAAAAGAATATCTTATAAAATATACTTTATATAGTTAGGCTAAATAGTACCTTTACCTTTATCTTACTAGGCACTAAGGAATTAACTAATAATATAATATTAATTAGAATTACTTTCTAATAAGGGCTTTTTTAAATATCTAAGTATAGGTTTTATATATATAATATTAGCTTTATTATTTAAGTAAGGCTTCTTATATTATATATTAAGATAAGATATTATTTAAGGGAATAAGAATAAGGTAATTAGGTATTAAGAATAGTAGTAGAGTTATATAACCTTTATTATTTAAGAGTTTATATTATTATTAAGTATATATTTAGAATAGTAAAAAGGAAGTTCTAAATCCTTTAATATAATACCTTAGAATATAACCTTAAGAAGTAGGTATTAATTATCTTTACTATTATAAAAATATAGAACTTTATTAAAGACTTTAAAGGGGTAAAGGAAGTTAATAAAGATAAAGAAGAGGATATTAAAAAGATAAGGGAAAGAATTACTAACCTTAATACCTCTAACTTAAGGTAATTAAAGGAAAAAATTACTACTAAATAGTAGGAGGAATATTAGTAGATTATAGCTTAAAGAAGTATAGAAAATACTAATAATAAGGCTAATAAAGAAGATAATTAGTTTAATATATAGTAAGAGGGTATTTAGAATTATAAAGAAGATAATAAAGATGATAATTACTTTTTAGTTAAAGTTATAATATTATTAGCTTTAAAAAAAAATAAAAATAATATATATAAAGTAAGGAAGTAAGGTATAATAATAGAAGGTAAGAAGTAGAGTTTTTAGTAATAGCTTTACCTATATTACTAGTATAACTAACTAAGGCTAACTTTAACTATTAAAATAAATATATTCTTATAGGAAAAAATATAATTTAAATATACTATTTAAAGCTTTAAAAAATCCTCTTAATTCTATACTAATTTTAAGGATTTTACCTTATTAATAACCTACTAAAAGAACCTCTTTTTATAACTAGGTATACTAGTTCTATATTACTCTAGCTTTATAATATCTTTAATTATATAGTTAAGGAATATATTTAGTTCTTTATTTATTACCTTAAGGTTTAACCTCTTTTATATATTAATACTAATCTCTTTAAAAGCTATAAATTTTACTCTATATACTACTAATTCCCTTATTTTAATATATTTATAAATAGCCTTATTTAGAAGTAATAAGATTAATACTTTTAGTATTACCTTCTACTTTTTTTAATATTTAGGTAGTAGTATTTAGGTAGGTATTAATAGCCTTAGGCTTATTAATAATAAGGCTTTTAATATAGTATTATTCTCTTTAATAGAGGTATTTAGTAATTTAAAAGTAGTATATAATACTACTAATTCTATATTATTATTAATATTAATAGTAATTATTCTAGTTCTTTATAAGTCTAGTTAGATTTTAGCTAGTAATAAAGGTAATAAGTACCTTAATATTTAAAGCTACTTTCTATATTCTAGTATTATTATAATAAATACTTCTTATTAATAGTTTAATAACTTAATCTTCTTAGTCTTAAAATTAAAGCTTATATTACTATACTTAATAATACTTTAGTATACCCTATAAACTCCTTATAATTAGATATATTTTTAATAAAGCTTCTATAGGCTAAAATATTTCTTTAAGAATATACTTTTAAATTCCTTAATAATATTATTATAAACTTATCTATATATATATATTTAAGGTATAATAAAGTTACTATTTATAATAGCTATATAAAGGTAGTTAATAAAGGCTTTAACTTACTTATCTAACTAAAGGCTTTAAGTACTACTAGTTAATATTTATAAGTATTTATTACCTAAAAAGGGGGAAAAAGTACTAATTTATTTATATCTTAATAGATCCTAAAAGGAAGCTAGTAGCTTACTACTAGTACTATTAATAATTAAATCTTATAAATCTATAGCCTTCTTAAAAAGGCTAAAAACACTACCTTTAGCCTAAATAAATACTTTAAAAGTTAAGCCTTAGGTAATAGGTATATAGCCGATCTTTATAAATTATATATAGGTAAAAATAGTACTTCTGCTACTAAATTTAGGTGGCTAATATACTAAATCGACCCGCTATGACTTTTTTGTGGGCTATGACTTTGACTCGAAAAAACTCGCTATCACACTCTTATGTAACCACATTGATGCTCCACACCACTGTTCCGTTGAGTTTCCAGTTTATTTGACACGCTAAGGAAAACAACAATCAACATGACGAAAGATCTTCTGAATGCAACACTGATCAGTTCTTAACCTCAGGGTCGAATCACATACGTTTAGTAACCCGGACAGACAAACCGGGTCTGTACGAATCCTCGGCAACGTGTCCAATCGTGGAAGAAGGAGCCTAGATAGCTCTCGCCAGCCCAAATAAACAAAGAAAACAAACGCCCCTATCCGAAACCCTCCCTTCTCGAACGACGTCACGAAAGAACATCATCATCAGCATTACAAAACTATACAGAATCTAGCACGTATAGCCCATGTTGGTACGTCTCCTGCCCTGTTTGCCTCCTCACACAGCCAAGACCCCCCTTATGTGATTGTGATTTCTGCTTACCTGGATACCTCCATAGGTAACCCGGCTACTAAGCGCCGGCACAACCCCTCACCCCGTTATATGGTAACGATTGTTGCGGGGATTCCCATTCTCCTGCCATTTACACCACGCCTACACAATCCAGGTCTGGCGCTCAGTGCTCGAGTTGGCTTTAATTTGAAACTTGTCGCTCGTCGGCCGTGTTTCCTTCGGATCCATCAGCATCGCGAAATCGCCCGACAAATCGCCCAACATGAGCAACGCAGCCGTGACTCCAGAGATGCGACCAAACGGCTGGAACGTCCAGCTCCTTTTCGGGGATAGCAACGTTCCTGCCGATGGTCTCTTCAAGGGGGCAAAGGTTTCTTTCGCTGGCGTCTTCCAGGCGGCAAAGAATACTTCCCTCACCTTCCGCGACGTTGTTGACGAGCTGCGGCTGTCTTTTGAGTTCCCACATGAGAGCTCAGAACTATGGGGGCAAGTTGCCTTTGGCCTTGCGGCAATGTTGAACGTGACTGAGGATGAATGTCCCGCCCCCACGTTCATCCATGGCGATGGGCTGCGTCAAACAGTTCCCGCCCTTCCTACACAACGGCCGAGAGCTCCGAACGACCGTGCAATTCTCCAGTACCTTGTTTTTAGGCACGGCGCTTGCAACGTGACAGCTGATAAGCCACTGAAGTCTCATTTTGAGGGTATGTGCAGAGACTATGTTCACAGGCATTGTTAAAAGACTCTACTTAAAGGCGTTGTGAAAGACACCATGATCTTCCTATAGTGACTTACTAACTCTTTGTAGAAGGATGCGCGCAGCACATTTCTAAGCCTGAAAGGCGACTAGATCCGCGCTATTTACCTCCGAAGAGGCCCTCAAAAAACCCTCACTATTTGAATTATCCGCTCCGTAAAACAATTCGCGCCCGGAAGCCTTCTCCCACGAAGCGATCAGCATCTGGTTCTGTATCACTGTCGATGGATCAGGATCTGGACCAGGTTGATGAGGACTCCGAGAATATAATAGCACCTGTGGACTGCAACATCGACGCCGTCCTAGCCCGATCGACCATGAACAAATTTCGCAACGTTTGCCTCCACGATGCCGAGCAATGTGTCGTCACTGGTATGGGAGGGGGGTGGTGTACCACCCCAAGCGTTGGTCCTGGACTGCAGGCGTGCCATATCGTGTCCCAGCTACATTATCATACATACATGCCCTACCCCCCACGAAGCAATGCCAGCGAAAGCCAGGGTTATAATGCGGGGCAGTTAAGGGACGCCTGGGAGCGCACTTGGTCGCAACAGAATAGCATCCCTCTACTCAGCCATCTCCACGAAATGTTCGACCAGCGGCTCTTTTCAATACACCCGGATACCCTCCGTATCCGTGCTTTTATGCCCTACGACGTCGTCGTCGCCTATCATGGCCGTACGGCTAATATATCGCCCATGGTGGATAGGGACGCACTACGCCATCACTACGACATGTGCTGCATCGAGAACATGGCCGCAAAGATATCCTTTCAGGAGCCCGGGACGACTGCGGCAACATCGGGTGTTAGTACTCCGTTGGAACTTCGAACAGTGAGACTTGGCGGCGCTGCAGACCCGAGGATACTTGATTCGCCCTCTGAGCAGAACGAGGACCAAGACGGAGCTTCTGGTGGTGGTGGTGGTGGTGGTGACCCCTCTAAACGGGCGCGGAGGACTGGGAGACAGGCTAACGATAGTTATATCACGCCTGACAACAGTGAATGGTTCTTGGAAAGTGTTAACTGGAGTCTAATAAGATAGAAGGAAGGTGGAGGATAAGGCGGAGAAGGAGGACAAGGGATATGTTGCTATTAAAACCCAGTGCTATTCATTCGTTTTGTTGCTTCCTGTACAGTAACGATGGTGTAGAAGTGCCTGAGCAGTGGGTTGCCTGGCCAACCACAGCTGTAGCGTGCAGACTTATTATGCGACCATCTTTAATTAATTACCGAAAACCCGCCCAGGTCGGCCGAGCTTAAACTCTCACGGAGAACTCCATACAACGACCCAGAGCTCGCTCTCCTTCCAATACCGCAAAAGATGCCAACATGACGACATCGACAGCGCCGTCATAGCTCGATCCATTCCACGTTGACGTCGACCCTGCCCGACGATCCGCTAATCGTCTTTTTCGTGTCCGACTTGGGCGCAAACGCCTCGCTCCCGTTGGCCAGCTCGTCGTTGGGCGAGAACTGGTCCCAGTCCCAGAGATGCGCCTCGATCGTGAGGCGATCGTCCAGCGACACCGCCAGCACCGAGCGCCGCAGCGGCACCGCCTCGTTCTCCTTGACGGGCGTCGTCTTGTCCTTTTCGCACGGCACGTCGAACAGCAGGACCTTGCCCAGGCGGGTGATGGCCGTGACGGTGCCGCAGACGTCGTCGGGGTTCTCGTCGCCCTTGGCCAGGATGACCTGGACGCGCGCCGTGAGGGCCCGGCGGAGGACCGCGTACTGCACCGACGCGGAGCCGTGCTCGCCCGAGATTTGCTGGTAGTGCGTCGTGTCGTACTGGTTGCTCGGGTCCTCGGGGTTCCACTGCACGCTGCCGACCGCCACTTGATCGTCGGGCGACGGGTCCGGGAACGCGTCGTGGTCCCAGAGATCGAGGTCGATGGAGAACGCCCCGGAGCCCGAGATGGGCCGTGACGGGCCGGTCAGCGGCACGTCCTGGCCGGGCTTGATCGAGTACGACGGGTCCTGCTTCCAGAGGGTGTCGGTGCCGAGCGCGTCGGTCGCGGTGATGCTGCCGTAGAGGTCGCCCGGGTCCTCGCCGTCAATGTCGTTGATGCGCACAAAGTACACCGCGAGCAGCGTGCGGCCCTGCGGCGTCGCGCCGCACTGGTCCTCGCGCGCGGCCATCGTCATCAGCCTGCCGCTCGGGCCCGGCTTCAGCGACGGCTGCAGCGCGATGCCGAGGATCGCAATCGCCGCCGCCAGCGTGCGCAGCTCCCACTTTTGCAGCTGGTTCTCGTTGGCGAGCAGCGGCGTGCTGTCCGTGTAGGTGGTGTCGCCGCGCAGCACCGCCTCGGAGATGTCCGCCCAGTCGTTCTCGAGGCGCGCCATGCGCTCCGTGATCTGCGCGCCCTCGGCGGCCACGTGGTCGCCGATGACGCGGAAGCGCAGCGCCTCGCTCAGCATCTGCACGAGGACGAGCAGCGACTTGGCCAGCGCCTTCTTCTCGTCCTGGTTGCGCGGGTCCTGCAGGTGCGTGGCCAGGTAGGACGCGGCGCCGCGGAACGCGCCGAGGCCCAGCGGGAGCTCCGGCCGCCGCAGGTCCGCCTGCGTCTCCAGCCGCGAGTAGGTGAAGCCGCCCGGCAGCGCGCGCGAGCCGGGAACGAGGGGGCCGGCATCGGCGAGCGCGCGCCACTCGGGGTTCGCGAAGCCCTCGACGCGGTAGGCGAGGAGGTACAGGTTGTCGGCTTGCAGCCGCACGGTGATGGTGAAGCCGCCCGTGTGCAGGCCCAGGTCGAACCAGTCGACGGTGGCGGCCGTCGGGTTCGGCGTCTGGGGTGGGAGGACGTGGAGCGCGACGGGCCGACGGCAGGCCTCCAGCTCGCCGCGCAGGTCCTCGAGGAGTTTCTTGTAGGCGTCTGCGTCCATCTCGTCGAGATTCACGGACCGCGGAGGGATCTTTTCGCCACGCGGCTGCAGCTCCGAGGGTGTAGGTATGCCATGGGCAGTGCTGACCAGCACGGCCAGGGCGAGCCACAGGCAGCGGACAAGCATTGTGGCAAGTGAGCCTTTCATCGTCTGAGAGATGTCTAAAAAAGAACAGAGTCTTTCTAGGTCTGCATGACTTGGGCAGAACGAGGTGTGTTTGGCGGATGCTTTGTCTCCTTTTATACCTCTGTCCTTTCACTTGCTCAGAGCTCGGGACAGCCTCCGAGGAGTTGCCAACTCCGGTTGGCCTCATTCCTCGACCAATTAAGCATGCAGTTTGTCATCACGGTGCATCAAGTCAACGTACAACTGACCCGTCGGTTGTGCAGTGTCGTGTGGCTAGCTGAACTCTTCCATTGCTTGAGACAGTAACATTGTAATAAGTCCGGTCACTGTCTTACCTTGTCTCATCCTTTGTCCTAATGGATCAAAGTCGCGACGATGAGAATATCGGGTTCTCTACCAGCTCATGATGCTCGCAGCCTGCCATGAAGACATCCTGAGCAACTCCAGACTTATCGAACTCTCTTTGCACGCCAGTTGTCGCCTTCTAGTCGGGTCACAACTTAACCAAGCATGCCAATTCCCTTGCCCGTCGAACACTCACTGATCCATTATCCGCACTTCCGCTGTTGTATGGCATATTGTGCCCGACTTCCCCGCATCGACAGCATCCGCACGACATGGGCGACAGCAGCCACAACCCGAGTTTGGAAGTATGAATCGGCATCTGGGCAATGCTTCGGGCAGGCCAGTATATATCATGTCGAAAGAAATGACTCATAGAGAGGTTCTCCCCTCCATCGTAGAAATGCCGACCAGAGACAGAAATGTAGGCCACATGCGAGTCTCATCACAGTAACCTCACAGCACACCCCGCGCGGGGTATTGCCGGCCGTTCAAGGGACCAATCACCATGGCTGCCGGGGAGCTACGCGATGCAAGACCGTCATATTTCGTGCGTCAAGGCGGATGCATACCACGTATCAGGGTCATGTTGTACGTAATGATAAGCAACAGCCAAGATGAGGTCGGTGGTGCGCATGGTCGCGACCCGATAAACACCTACCCTGTAGTAGCATCCCTAACGAAAGGGTTTTCTGCGACATGAAACATGCTTGAATTATCATCGCACTTGGCCATAACTAGGCAAAGATAATTTCTTGCCCACTACGTAGCCAGAACCCCGCTCGCTCCTTATGCATTTCCTCCCTTCTTCGTCACCCCCAGTTTCCCGATATCACGCCGCAGATATGTCTGGCGCCGAACTTGTCGGCATAATTTCTGCTGTTATTTCTATTGTTGATGCCACAATCAAAGTGTACAATGCCGCCAAGGATGATGCTGGTCTGCCGCCCAACTTCAAAACGGTATCGACAAAATTTCCTTTGGTCTCAATGCTTCTCAAGGATGCGGAGAGATATATCAACGACAAAGCAGACAGCACCATCACTGCAACTTTTACACCCGTCTTGACCCATTGCAAGGAGAAAGCTACAGAGCTGCAGCAGGTGTTTGAGAAAGTCATTCCAACGGAGGGTGATGCGAGGATTGAACGATATTTCAAAGCTGCCCGAGCCATTGGCAAAGGTGGCCGTGTGGAGACGCTGATGGAAGGAATTCTTCATGATTTACAACTCCTGACGGCAAAGCTTCCTGTGGCCATATCGGCAAGAGGCCAAGCGAGCTTAACAGAGGCGATTGAGGAAGTGAAAGAGCTGGATCCATCCTTGCCTGACGGGTTCGAAGACGCACCATCATTTGCACATTCTGGCACCGGTGCGCAGAACGCCAATACTGGGCTTGCAGACAGGGGCGAAAACTTGGTGGCCCATTTCTTCTCGAACGCGGGCGCTTGTGCCACCAGGAGTCAGTGCAATGAATTCGCCAGCAACACGTTTGGAGGTCCTACCAAGCCTGTTCCAATGCAGGGTCTATTTAGCTACAGTGTCATCACCGCGAATGATTCAGTTATTGTTCAATTTCGTGATCCAGCCTCCCCGCTGGACGTTGGGATGGTAAACGCGGCTCACCGTATCCATTCCGAAGTTGTCGCTGGCTGTAGCTACCTCGGGACCCTGGGAACATCGCCCGGGCTGCCGATATATTCCATGAAAATGCTCCCCGGCGACAACTATTTGAGCATCTCCCTCTCCGAATCATCCGAAGATTTGGCCTTTCAGCTGGCTACGATACGCAGTTTAGCAAGGTACGTTCACCTGCGTTCTTTGTCTGCCTGCGAAGGTCTCAATTGCAATGCTGAACCACAATTTATAGATTTTTTGCTCAGTCCTGGCAGTATAATGCTGACTCGTATGTGAGCTCCAACATTTTGGAAGAATGCCGTTCTAGCTTCGATAACCTCATTACTACCCTCCCCTCTTGCCTCGAGAAAACTGCTGCCTGGGTACAGCAACGCCTCCCAAGCCTTTTCTCTGGGAAATTTCCACTGGTCATTACTCACGGTGACCTCAGTGAGATGAATATTCTAGCTGACGCTAGGACTGGCGAAATTACAGGCGTCGTTGATTGGGCTGAAGCGGGTATCCGACCCTTCGGCTTCTCTCTTTACGCGCTTGATAACCTTCTGGGCTATATGACGCCCACTGGATGGGTTTTCCATGATGCCGCTACACATCTCAGAGATGAATTCTGGAAGGCTTTTGATGAATTGGTGGGGGGCGTGTCGGACTCTGAAATGGAGCTGATTCAGCTTGCAAGACTGGTGGGATTGTTTCTACGATACGGTAGACCGTACGCAGCTGGGCACAAGGGTGTAGTCGGTGTTGGAGGAGCCAGCAACTCGTCCATCGAATTTCTACGAGCCCTTGTATCAGGTTGAACGCGATACGGGCATATCGTGATGGGCGCTTGTACATTATCCACGACAGGCTTAGCCGAGAATGCCGTTTTTCATCGGGCTGTGGACATGGTTCCCCTTTAGTTCGATTGTTCCCGTCGCGTTATCGTTACGGACATGATCCGCCTGTTGAGGCCTCCATCAAATGGCGACTTTGTGACACAAGTGACTAACTAAATAAGTACAATTAGGGTACTCCTTATTAGCTGCCTGTGACAAGTCTCATTGTACCCCTGCGGTGAACTAGGTCACGTAGCATCCGCCAACTTTTGATAGGCCAGCATGACCAAAAGGCAGCCTTACATGGCTGGTGGCGCCGCGCATGCTCCCGCATGACCCACTGCATCTCGAGTCACTTGTGCCTGTGCCGCTGCTATTAATTAGCACTCTTCAGCCATCCGCCAGCCTCCATCCTTCATCTCACCTTCACTCGGGCCATGGGTTATCTTTTTCCATCAACATCTGCGCAAACGATGGTGTGTATTTCCCCCCCCTTTTCCCGTGCTCTCTTCTCCTCCGCCATCATCTCTACTAACTCGCGTTTCCCACCCGGCCCAGGCTTCCGAACACACCCCCCTCCTCGACGAGCACCAGAGCGCCGATGACGGCCGTCGCTCCGCCGCCGCCGCCGCCGCCGCCCAGCGCCGCACTGTCCGCGAGGTCGCCATCTTTGGCTGGGCTCTCGTCGCCACGGCCGCCTTCATCGTGCTCGCCGTGTGGGTGCAGCACGCGCAGCAGACGCACCCGCCGCCGTCCACCCCGGCGCCCAAGCGCAACCTCGTCTTCATGGTGTCGGACGGCATGGGCCCGGCCTCGCTCGCCCTCGCCCGCGGCTACCACCAGCACGTCGCGCGCCTCGCCCACGACGACGTGCTCGCCCTCGACCGCCACTTGTGGGGCACCAGCCGCACGCGGTCCTCCGACTCGCTCGTCACCGACAGCGCCGCCGGCGCCACTGCCTTCTCCTGCGCCCGCAAGACGTACAACGGCGCCATCGCCGTCCTGCCCGACGGCCGCCCCTGCGGCTCCGTCCTCGAGGCCGCCAAGCGCGCCGGCTACGCCACCGGCCTCGTCGCCACCACGTACCTCACCGACGCCACCCCCGCGTGCTTTGCCGCCCACGTGCCCTACCGCGAGATGATGGACGCCATCGCCCTGCAGGAGGTCGGCGAGGGCCCGCTCGGCCGCTCCGTCGACCTGCTGCTCGGCGGCGGCCGCTGCTACTTCTTGCCCAACTCCTCCGCCGACGGCTGCCGCCAGGACGACGTCGACGTCACCAGCATTGCCCGCGACAAGCACGGCTGGACCTACGTCGACTCGCGCGCCGCCTTTGACGCCCTCGACGGCGGCCACGCCGCCACGCTCCCGCTGCTCGGCCTCGTCGCCCGCGGCAACGTCCCCTTTGAGCTCGACCGCCGCGCCCTCAACGACACGTACCCGAGCCTCGCCGAGATGACCACGACGGCGCTGCGCGCCCTCGCGCGCGCCACGGCCGACTCGGACCGCGGCTTCTTCGTGCTCATCGAGGGCAGCCGCATCGACCACGCGGGGCACATCAACGACCCGGCCGCGCAGGTGCACGAGGTGCTCGCCTACGACGCCGCCTTCCGCGCCGTGCTCGACTTCATCGCCGCCTCGCCCACCGAGACGGTGCTCGTCGCCACCTCGGACCACGAGACGGGCGGGCTCGCCACCGCCCTGCAGCGGCCCGACGAGCCCCGAGGCCACGTACGACTGGTACCCGGCCGTGCTGGCCCGCGCCGCCGCCTCGTGCGAGCGCCTCGCCGCCGCGCTGCGCGCCCACAGCAGCCATCGCCGCTCCCGGGACAGCGCCGCCGCCTTCCGCCAGTACGTGCGCGACGAGGTCGTCAGCGCCGGTCTGGGCATCCCCGCGGCGGACATCACCGAGGCCGAGGTGGACAGCCTCGTGGCGGCCGCCGAGGACACGGAGCGCGCCAGGACGCTCTTGGCGCACATCATCTCGCGCCGCGCGCATATTGGCTGGAGCACGCACGGGCACACCGCCGTCGACGTCAACATTTACTCGTCGGGCGGGCCCGGCACCGACGCCCTCCGCGGCAACGTCGAGAACACAGAGGTCGGCGACTTTCTGCGCCGGTACCTCGACGTCGACGTCGACGCCATCACCAGGGAGCTGCAGGCCAAGAGCCGCCGCAGCGACGAGATTGCCGGTGTCATGGGGGCGCCGCGGGGTGCGTTTGACGAGTACCACGCCCACTTGAGGAACTGATTAGATGTAGAGCGCACTGGGTTTGCATTTACAAGACAGCATGTGTGGCAACGTTGAGCGTTGAATTCTTCGGGGGGGGGGGGTTTTACATGGTCATTAGATCGATCTGGGTTGCGCCAGACCAACAGGCTAGAATATAGAATAGCTATCACAAACACATAATAAGACACAAATTGCATAGCAAGCGTTCGTTGGGACTCATGATTGATCAAATATACTGCGCTATAGCTACAGAAAGAAGAAATTTCAGAGACACCAAAGCATAAAACATAAAAACGCCGCTGCTAAAGAATCGACCCCAGGCACCAGACGCCAGATGTACATGATAGAGGAAGCCCCCCAAAGCGGTTATTAGGTAGTAGTGTCCCTGACATTCAAGTCGTACCGCATGTACAACTTATCCAGGAAATGCGAGTGGCGGATGCCATTCGGCTTGGCCTTTTTGAACAAGGCAATTGCATCCTGCACCGAGATGCCGCAGCGCTCGACCAGGTAGCAAACGACAAAGTAGCCGGTGCGGTTGTAGCCGTAGTGGCAGTGGACGCCGACGACGACCTGCTGCCGCCAGTTGTCGTCCCAGCTCTCCGCCACTGCGCGGTCGGCCTGCCGCGCGCGAATCGAGTCGACGAGCTGGATAAAGGCCGCCACCTCCTCCGCGTTGGGCGGAATCTTGGAGACGGTCGGGAACTTGTGGTAGTGGATGCCGGCACGCTCGAGGCCCTGGGCGTCGTAGACGGGCTGGTCCTTGGAGATGTCGATGACGTCCTTGACGACGTAGCTCCAGCGGGCGGTGAACTCGGCGGGGCTATGAACGTCGTCGGCCTCGCGCAGCGTCTTCATGGCACGGAAGACGGGAGCGCCGCCGGACGGGCCGATGGGTGCCGACACGGGCAAGACCGACTTCCACTTGGCCAGGTTCTTGACGTCCCACTTGCCCTCCTGGCTGAGGTATTGTAGCTGCCAGGCGAGGGAGAGGCGACCGGTGATGTTGTTGGCGAGGAAGTCGGCAATGAGACCGGCCAGGATGCGCGATGCGCGCGGGGCATAGAGGAGTGTGTGGTTGGCCGGTGCGGGGATGATGATGGACTGAACGACCATGGCCGGGTGCTCAGGCTGTGGCGGGATAGCCGTGGTAGATTCCAAGGGAGTTGATGGGTCGTGGCGTGAGTCATCAGTCTCGGCGTCTGATTTTGCAAAATCTTCATCCGTGATATTGACAATGGATGACGAGAGATCGTGATCGTCTGGCTGTAGCCTTGTGCCTACTGGTTCGGCGGCCTTGCTGACATGCACTATCGGCGTCTCCGTGCCATCTTGAGCAGCCTGCTTCGTCTTGATGGCATTAACAATCTTGTCCACATTCGTCGTCGGTGTCACATGGTCAGCCTCGCCGCCAATAAGGTAGAGGGGGATATCAAGTTCGCTCCAGATGTCCGTTGTAGGAATACCGCCCATGGGCTTGCCATTCTTATAAGGTGGTGCCGCGGCGGCAACCATGCGTCGGAAGACGGGAGTTCGGCTCTGCTGATTATAGCGGTACTGAAGCAGCCGCAGTTCGGGTGGTGCCGCAGCGCCTGCGAATCGCGCAATAGACGGGCTGTCTGGGCCGCCTCTTCCATCCCACAGTCGCCACAGGGAAAAGACCCAGCCTGGTACCCAGAGCAGGGCGCGGACCCACGGCGATACAGACTCGCCCAGAGGACCAGCGGAGGGGCAAATGGCGATGAAGCCAACAATGTTGTTCACCAGATCCGTGTGGTGCACCGTCTTCTTGCTCGCCAGGAGCGCAGAGAGCCCTGTGCCCATGCTATGGCCAACGAGGACCACCTTTTGCCCGACATCGCGATGATCCTCGATGATTGTTTCCAAGAGCTCGGCGAGAGCCTCCATTGTATACGCGTCCCAGCGTTTCTGCGAAAAGGCAGACCGTCCTCCGCCGGGATGGTCTATCGCCAGGCACGGGCCCATGTCCACGAGGCTGCTCAGCAGAGGGTGGAATTGCGCGACCGAGCCGCCCAAACCAGGGATACAGACCAGCAAAGGCAGCGGCCCTGGGTCTTTCGGTAGCTGGGCCGCCTTGGCATGCTGGCGGAAAAAGACGCGGATGTCCTTGTACTCGCAGCGACTGGTGGTATATGTCTTGAGCGTGGAATTCTCTTTGAGAAGGGTAGGGTCCGTTTCGTGGGCATCCACCGCGATAGCCGGCGGACCAAATAACCATTTGTAAATATGGGACATTTTTTCGAACCAAAGAGCCCACAGCTGTTGGTGATGGTTTCCAATATCGCGATGCCTGCAATAGATGACTCAATAGCAAGAGTGGAGCCCTCGCTCAGTCGCAAGTCTCAGCGGTTGCAACGGGAAACAGGTACGCGCCCCCCCATGCGCTCTTCGTATGGGAAAACGGCGGCAACTCAGGCGGCCGGAAGCATCAAAAAGAGAGCCAGTAGTACGGCGACAGCGGGCGAAGGAGGCGTTTTCATGTCCCTGAGCAAAGCAGAGGCCAAGGCGGAGGACTGTGAGGGAGAGAAGATAAAGGCCTTCTACCGAGGTCGGCGGAAAGGCAAGGCTCTTTATCCTGAGGCACACCCTGGTCGGCGGCTCAATAAAATGGCTCAGTCTCGCACCCAAGTCGGGGGCGCAGCTACCAGCACAGTTAGTCGGTCGATGCTTGATGCGGCTGTTCGTTGCACGATGGCGGCCCTTGTCAATGTTGATGAGCAATGACGCTTGGTCGTGGTGGAGCTGTCGATTTCTTTCTTCTACGCGCCTTGCGCTACCCGGTAAGGCCGCCAAAATGTGCTCACGCAAGCTGTGCTGCTCTGTCAAGGCGATTTTCCGTGTCAATAAATATCCCGTTGGTATTTTTGCACCCGAGAATGCCGTGTTTGTTGCTTGGTAAATGGGCAGTTAGGTTGCCAAGATGTGACGGTGGAACAAGTGACACAACTTTATAGACAGACTTGGCCATTGTTCCTGCCCAATATGCAGCCCAAAGCCGTGCTCAGCAGGGATAAATCGCAGAGATGCAGCGAATATTCTTGACAATGGCATCATGGTAATATACACTAATTTACAGATACAAAAGCTACATCTACAACTACTCGCCAGCGCCAGCGCCGACGCCCTCCTGCCACCCAAGCGGTATCAATACAGCTGCCACGTCCGTCACGCCACGTTCCGTAGCAAGTAGATTAAATTGTGACGCCGCATTTCTCGTATCCAAGACCTCCAGCCGTATACCCAACGATGAAATGTGCTTCTTCAACTCGGGACTGAGCGGCACGTTACTCTTTCCGGTGCCAATAATAAGCAAATCTGCACAACACGGCGCATTAGCAAAACTGTCCCATCTCGCAGGCCACGCCCAAGATAAACGCCAGGAGGAGCGAAAGTTGTAGAAGCAGTGTCGGCGCCCCAATACAATAACAAAAAACAGCGTGTCTTACCAGGTCGCGGCCACAGCATGTCAAACACGGCAAACGCCTCCGCGGGCACGTCGAACTGCCCCTTGTCGTTGAGCAGGCGCATATGGCCTGTTATCTCCCACGGCCGCCACGTAAACGCCTCGCCGTCGACTAGCAGCGCGCCGTCGCCGCCGCCGATGGTGATGCCGCTGTTGAGGCCGAACCCGTCGTCCATGCAGACGTCGACCGACGTCGACGGCACCGGCGTGCTGCCGAGCACGTCCAGGTCCTGGAAGCTCGTGGGAACGTGCTCCCGCGCATCTTTCTTCTTGCCTACGCTCGACGTGGTGTGTAGTGATCGCGCGGCGAAGAGCTGCGCGCGGCAGAGTGGTGCCGTCGTTGTCGTTTGGGGATAGGATGTCGCGAGCGGTCGGAACAGCGTCTTGACGCGGGGCACGACCGAGACCCTGCGTAAAGGCCGAGCCTCTCGTAGGGAGCGCGTAAATGTGCGCATTGCGATTGCGATTCGGTGCGATTCGGGAAGCTGGTGGTTGTCTTGATAGGTTCGGAATAGTTCTGCGAGAGCGGTCGTTGTCTGCGCTTGATGTGGGGCTACGTCAGATTACCAACTCTGACGTGCATATTTTGATATAGATCACTGTCACCTTATAATGGCATATCCGTACTACAATTCGCTAGAAATTCGCTAGAGATTTTCATGGTACGTCCAAGTCACGCGGTGGAACACGGGCCGAGAGATTCGTTTCACCACTTGCGACTCACGATACAACCATTATCAACCTCAAAGCTCTCGACACTGTGAGAGTTGATATCCTCTCGCCGAAAGAACCTGTCACCGAATTCATCTCATGCCAGAGTCAGCCTCAGCGTCACGTTGAAACCCAATGTTGAACATGTGCTTGACTCTCATTTCATTTCAGATCATCAAGTTAGATTTTAGCAGTCTAAAGACAGCAGCAGACCAGCCATCATCTTCGCAACAGCCCTGGTCCGTATGTATCATGCAGTCCCTTTTTGTCCGTATGAACACCAAAGCAATGAACCCATTTCACAACCCTTCGTTCCGCCAAAAAGAAACAAGGAATAAATTTTGTCGTTTTAAAAATGTGTGATTAACTCCATTTATTTCTTCTTGCCCTGCTCCTGCTCCTTCAGGACCTTCTTGACGATCTTCTGCTCCTCGATCAGGAAAGCACGGACAATGCGATCGCGGACGCAGTTACCGCATCGCGAACCACCGTAGGCGCGCTGGACGGTCTTCTGGGGCTTGGAGATGTTGGCGTACTCGCGGGGGCGGAGAGCGGGGATCTAGAAGGGAACATGTTAGTTGGCACTATTGGGAAGCCCGTGGTGATGCCGACTCGAGTGGCATTCGCAAGACTTGGTCATGGTGACGAGGGAGCTGATCCCGTGTCCCCGCGGTGGTCGGACATAAATTTGGCAGCAATTCCGGATGGGTCGCCTATTCAGTTTCGCACAGCGGGGACCAGCCTTAATTTGTCCTTTTCGTTCCATACGCCCAGTCTTCGTGAATGCCATTCGAGTCGTCGTTGGCGTCGGCTTGACTTACGCCAGAGAGCTTGGAGCCACAGTCGCCGCACTTGGGGACGGTACCGCGCTTCTTGAGGTGAAGAACACGGAGCTTGCCACCAGGAGTCTTGGAGACTCGGGTAATGTTGGAGGTGGTGTTGTAGCTGCAGCGCCATCATGGTTAGCCTTCAATGCCGTAATTGCCAAACGGTTGGACGGTCGCAAGCGGGAAGAAGATGAATTCGAGGTCGTGGGGAAATCGAATCGTTGTATTCTTCGCGGCGAAGGGGGGAGCACTCACGGGGTGCGGCGGCGGTAGGTGACGCGGTGGTTGACCATTTTGGCGGTATTTGCTGGGTTGGATTGCAAACTGAGGGATCACGGACGGACTAGAAGCGAAGAATTTCGAGATTTGGTGGAAAATTTGTGTGGGTGGTGCTTGAAAATGTGCCCGCTAAGCTGGCGAATCAGGTTGCAGAGGCGCCTTCGAAAGATCCATAATTGCACGTGACCTGTCGCGATTTTGGGCTCCAGGCATGACCGCGTTGGACATGTGGAGTCTAGTCACTTGCTGCTGCCATCAACCATCAACGGTTATGAAGCATTGTAACATTGCAGCTTTTTCATGTGCGAAAAAGACGAAACGTGAGACATCTAGAATTTGACGTGCAAACAGCAAGATTTCGCCTTTTGCAGGTTCCTCGCCTTACTTTTTGCCTTTTTGCACGGTAAAGATATGCATGCCTTGAATTATGTATTTTTGTCACCTAGATATAAGTCAAAAGAGCCAAAGGGCTTCGGTCTCAAAATCCCTAGTAATACATGGAATATTCCTTACAAAAACGCCTATACACCGTGATATCTTCAAAACGAAGCAACCCATGACCATGTCGCCGCAAACGCCGCCGAAAAGACCAGCCATGGTCTAGCTGAAAATGAGGAAGTCATTCGGACCTGCATTGAAAATGGTTCCCCCGGGATACCTGGACTATTCTGACCACTAGTCGTCTTTGTCCAAGTTGAACCAGTTGGGGTGGTCCTGGTGGCGCCAGGGCTTGATGCCGAATGGGTTTTCCTCCTTGCTCTTGTCGGCCATGGCGAATACGTCCTTGCTCGTCTCATCGCGCATGAGCTCGGTGAATTCCTTGACGCTTTCCTGGGCCTCATGAACAGCCTTCATGGCGGTCGCAAACATGACCTCGGCTGCTGAAATTGTTAGAGGACTTGTTTGGTAGCGCGAGAAGTGTCTGGGCTGCTCACGAGATGGGTGCTTCTGCACGAGGGGGTCCAGCATTCGCGGGATGGTGCCTCTCAGAAGGCGCGACTTGTTTGGTGAGCGAGATTCTTGGCCGAGGTCTGGCGCGGCTTACCTTGATGTGCAGGAGCTTGAGATGTTTCATCGCCGCGCGGAGACGCGCCTCTTCGGCAGAAACGTCGCCGGCGATGCCAGAATTGCCATGGGACTGTTGACCGTTCATTTCCAGATTGCGTGCTGTCCGGCACGGACAATGTCGGCAGCCTTGTCGTTGGATGAGGCTATGAGTTCCAGGAAACAAGGAGGAACGTGGGATAATGTGGGGTACGATCCGCTCGGAATGTCTGGAGGCTGGAGTACGGAATAAGGATGGCAGAAACTCAGGAATACAGGCGTAGAGCCCTAAGGATGACGATTCAATTGTTCAAAGCAAACACATCGGTTGCTCCAGCACTGGATCCGTGCTAACTAGTTAGGAATTTACTATCTGAAGCAGCCGTTGCAACAATGCGAGCCACGCCTCAGCCTTCATGTCACGTGTAAAGTATGTTGGTGGTACACAACTCGGGTGTCCTATTGCACAAGATTACGAATGGCGCACCGACAGAAGAGTCCTGATCAGCTCATTTTGTCACGACGAAAAGGACTTTTCAGCATCCCAGTGGTTTTCAGAAAGATACATTGATGCATCCGCGAGAAAAAGTCCCAGTGCAAGAAGACGCCTTTACGCGCTAAAGTACCAGATCCCAGTCACCGACGCGCTGTGGGGCGTTGTGATTGGCTGATAAGTGGCGGACCGGATCAACACCAAACCAAATGGGCTCACTGACAGTGCGGATTGGAAAAATCCTCACACTCCAGCACCTCGCGTTGTACTGTACGGCGCGAGCGAATGAAACCAACAGCAACGGGCTCATCTCACGGTCATCTCCGCCCGGCGTCGCGAATTGGCTCTCGTCTTTTTAAAGGGCACATATTGCAAGGACTTTTCGTCCTCCGCCGCTGCCTTTTTGCCACCCGTCCGTCGCCCTTTTGCCCCGACACTCGTTTGCCCTCCATATACCCCAACCCGCGTTTCTCGCACTGTCGCGAACCTACGTCACCCGGCCACACACACCCGCCCCCGATACAGAAGCACGAAGGCACGGTCGCTCGCCCGCCATGTCGAGTCCCGATGCCGGCACGCCGCCTCCGGCGCTGCTGCCGCCGCCAGAAGGCATCTTTCGGTCGTTTGACGATTTGATGGCGTCGGTGCAGCGCGTCGCCAAGGACCAGGGCTACGGCATCGTCAAGCTGCGGGCCTCCAACTACCGCGATGGCAAGCCAACGCGCTACGACCTGGTCTGCGACCGTGGCGGCGTCAAGTACAGCAGCACGGCCAAGAAGCGCAACCCGTCGACGCGCAAGATTGACTGCCCGTTCCGCGCAAAGGCCGTCTGCGAGGTGCAGCTTGGCAACCAGTGGCGATTCGCGCTGCAGGAGCCACGACACAACCACGAGCCCCGCGTGCCGTCGAGCACGCAGGGCGCCGAGGCGCCGCCGCTGGCGACGTCGCTGCGGTCCTTTACTAACAAGCTGGACCGGCTGAGCCACGATATCGCGCAGGGCTTCATGCGCATGGAGGAGCGCCTCGACCACATTGAGAAGCGCATCGAGTGCATCGAGGCCCGGGCCATCAGCTACGAGCCGCGCTTCCAGACAGTGGAGAACCGCCTGCTCAGCATCGAGGGAATAGAGGGAGCGCGCTTGGACAGCATTGGCATAGACGACCCTGAATCGCGGCTGCTGGCCTCGGCTGTTATGTAGAGCGCCGGCCCTGGCAACGGTCTGCACACCATGGGCGACGAATAGCCCTGCGATAGGATTGGGGTGCTAGCCTGTCTTGCACACTTGGAACTTTGGAAGCTGCCATCGATGTTAGGTTCCACGCAGTGGCTCGGCCATCCCAGTTGCTTCTTGTGGTGTTTGCTGTTGCCACCCTTTGAAATGTCTAGCCAGGACGATGACACTGAAGGAATCGGGGCGGAATATGGTCGAGTGCTTACGAAAAGCATTCGACGACATGGACATGCAGGTTTGCGACGAAGAATTTGATTGATACGCTGTGATATGAGTTTGCGTTTGATTTCGGGCTGGGTTTCATGAATGTCCCTTATTTTGTAGGTCGTGAGATTTCAGGCCTTTTTATGATGTGTGCTGTTACCTTGCATTGCACTAGTGGAGAAAAGGCAAGAGCACTTGCGTCAACTGTCGGCGTTTGGGATGCTATGAACAATGGGCTCTCGGGACAGACTTTGGAGCCTGGAATTACGGGACCGCAGTAACCCATTTTGCTTTCCCTTCTTATTTTTATCTTTCAGACATGTTTCATTGCTTGGAGCAATCGCTGCCGCCCGTTGCCTGTAGATGTGAGTTTTGCTGGAGTCTTCAGGCGCTCATTTCATGGCCAGATTCTAGAGCGTCTTGCGACATCGGTAGCAACTACAAATTAGTGCTTAGCCAGAGCTCCGATCATCTATATAGCAGCCGAATACGAGTACATTTAAAGGTTGAACCAAATGACCATGTCGTTAAAGTCCTGGCGAACTGCCTCGGCGTACATGTCTCGAGTATGCGGTGGCCGGGTTCAGGTCAGGGTATGATGTGAATGCCGACTAGCTGCCGGTCTTGCCTGCCTGCAGTTCGTCTCCTTGAAGTGCCGACAGCCTTGTTGGAATAGTCTTGCTTGTTACGCTGCAGGAGTATTCTGCATGTCTTACGGAATGTAGCGGCAAGTTTCATGGGAACACAAGCCAACGGGAGCCTGCTTTGATCTTGCAGACGCAGTAAGTGAAAAAAAAAGGCTGAAACAGGGAAACGGGGCACTGCAGCTTGAACTCGATAGTAATGGGCACTTCTAGCCGTGTAGATCGTATTAGTAGCGGGCGGAGGGTGTTGACAAAAGGTCACGGCGATGCCCGAGCCATGTCGCCAAAAGAAGGCAGCCTGATATTCGTACTATCTACTAAGGTAGGTAGGCACAATGGACAATGGCCACGAATGCTGGAAAGCAGCTGTCTAGGGTTCCATGCCGCTGTGGCTGACGGATGCAGTTTGATAGCATGAGTACTACGAATGTACATCCTCTACAATGTTTCACTTGACTAATAAAGAAGATGGCGATTTCAAGGACGCGAATCACGCGAGTTGGTATTTCAACGGTAAAAAAGGCGGGCGTTTCTGTACCTGTCGTGAATGCCGTTCTGATGGGAGAGCGTATAAGGACTCCAGCGCCATTCTTGTAGGGCTTGTAGGGCGCAATCGGGGGCGAAAACGCCGCAGGGACGGGGGGCCAGGAGCGCTGTGCGCCGTGATTAGCGGATACTAGCGGATGTTCAGGCACCTGGCAGGTGATAGTCGGACCCCAGTCTTAACACAGGTTAGGCGATGCCCGACGCTGGTGAGTAAATTTCCTTGGTACCCATGGGAAGAAACAATAAATACCGGAATATCCGCATCCGCCCATGACCCCTTTGCTTCGTGACCTCCCTAGTTATTTCAAAACGAACTTGGTTAGGTATTCATTCATACCAGGCTTATGACAGGTTGACTGGCCGGTTGCTGCGGCCCACACCACAAGCGCCTAGGGAAGACAGTACGTCACGGAATGCCCTCAGGGAACAGATAGGCCGCCGAACCTCTCTTGTTCACCATCGCCAGCCTGACTTCCTCCCCTCTGCGCATTTACGGAATCCTTCTGGCCCTGCCCACCAACGCCACACCACCAGAGGCGCCCTTGCGAACCGTCCACCTGTATGGTCTTGGTGGGATCTGCACCACGTCTGTTCACCTCGTCGCCTTGGTAGTTAACTACCAGGTAGGTAGGTAGTTGTCTACCAGGTACCTACCAAGAGGCCTTCCTCGACTCAACGGCTCTCAACGGTCGGGCATCCAGGATTTTCCCCGACACCCCCCAGCCAGCACAGCTGAACTGGTGATGCGATACGATACTGCGCTTGTTTGATCCGCACATGATACAGCCAGCGCCAACTCGGCAAATTTGGTTGGCTCCGCCGCCACGCCGCCACGCTCAGAGCCTTCCAACCTCGATCCCACCCGGAGCAAGACACCCCTGGACTTGACGTCTCGCGAATCCCTTGTCTTGCCCTTGACCGTCCACAATCACCATCGGGGAACCGATCCTGCCCCATTCATCAATCTCCTCTTGGTCCCGAATTGCAGTGCCTCGGCAGGGGGATACTGCAGCGCCGCCGTATTTATTACCGCTCCCCCTCCAACCGTCTTACACCCTTCACCACGTACCTCAACACCTGTCTGTGAACATTTGTCTGCTTGAAGCACACATTTACACTGCGACATGCCCGGGGTACCTACTTATCGTGGCTGTGATGCTTGCCACAAACAGAAGAAAAAGGTAAGCCGCCGGCCGGTTATGGCAACACAGGCAGAAGGCATCTCGACTAAACCTGGCTAGTGTGATCAAGCGTTGCCGCAGTGCGCCAGATGTGCTCGCCTCAGGGTTCCTTGCACTGGCACAGGACAGACGAGATACAAGTTCAAACAACAATGCAACTTTGCTCTAGTCAAGACAGCCCGGCCCAAAAGATCCTCACAGAGGACTCTGTCACCCCCGGCCTCGCCCCATAACGAAATAACGAGATTGTCCAGCCGGTTCGCCTCTGCCCTCAAGATTGACGACCCCCAGTTTGACTTGAAGTATTTTGGCCCATGGTTCGCTGAAATCCCGGTCCGTATGGGCACCTGCGAGCTTTTGGATATTGCCGCTGAATCCTTTCTCGATGCTCATGATGACCTGCGCAGCGGGCGAAAATCTACAAAGTGGCCTTCCAACTACAGAAAGGCCATCACCTCGCTCTCAAATACTTTCCAAGACCCGCGACAAACAAAATCTCCCTACACCCTTTGTTCCATCTTCATGATTATGGTTTCTCAGGTAAGTCGGCCATTCTCCAGCTACAACGTTGCGCACCGTAAAGGCTGACATGTCGTGCAGATGTGGGCATCCAAGTCGGCACAGGGCTACATGATCAACATGGAGTGCATCTGTACGGCACTCAACTCCACAATCGACGAGCCGTGGGACGATTCCTTTGCTCAGTCACTACGCCAAAACTTGATAATACCTGTAGTATGCTTCCACCCTCGACACTCTATGCTGCTCTAGCTAATGTCCCAAAGTGCAATGAAGCAATCCTCAACCCCAATTTATCCATCGATGTACGATACCTCGAGATTGTCAAACCGAGTTTCGGCCCGTATAAGCCTCTAGACAAAGAGAGGGGTCAGACTATCGAGAGTCTCGACTTGCCTTGCCTGATGCGCTTTCCGTACTTCATCCGCCAGCCGGAGATGCATCAGAATGACATGATCCGCGAATACATGCGAATGCAAACTGAGTGTCCGTTTATACGGCGCCGGGTGATGGAATATTACAACTTGGTCGAAGCGCACAAAAAAAAGCCGCGTCTAAACCTCGTCAGGGCATACATGCTACTGAGCGAGCAATACAATATGATGCTGAGCTCTACCCTCATCATGAATTCTTTCCTATTAGCCATGGATCCCACAAATAGTAAGCTCCAGGAAGACGCCCTGTACTATTCGCAAGAAGCCATTTGGATCACACGCAACTTAGCCGGACAGCTGGCGATGGGGGCAGGCTTTATGCCAGCAGCCCTGTTCGCGGCCTGGGTTGCCACCGACGACAGCGAAGTCATTGCCGATATTACCTCCATTAGGGACCAGCACGATTGCTACTGGACGGAGTCACACTACGTGGAGCAGTACACGACCATGAAGGAGCGCGTCCGCGAAATCCGCGACAGAAAGCTGGTAGAGCTTGACACCGCCGGGCTACAGTGCATGGATATGACCGACTTCATAGTGTCGGATGGCTTTGAGTACGGCTGGGGTTTGGACGCACCACTGGTCGACTTGGAGTATCTGCAAGACGGTAACCCCCGGGGCCTGGTGGCGTTTGGGACAGGCTGTCCGTGGGAGCAGGTGGAACTGGACTACTGCAACTGGGATCCCAACCTGCTGTTGTAGGCGCGGCATTGTTCATATAACCGGTGTTGCCCATGTATAGAAATGAATATTAGCCTGATCTTGACTGGTCCAAACAAATCACCTGGTAGTGCGTCGTGAAGTAAAATCCAGTCATGATACAGCAACAACCACCACGACTATTTATTCTCTCCGTGCGTGTGCTCGGCGAAAATTGCGGCTGTCCACTGTTACCATGAAGTTGGTTCTCTGACAATAGCGATTGGTTGATGAGCGGCGCATCACGTACCTTTTCGGCCAGATGGGTGCTGCCGGGACGAGGCAGAGGCAGAGTCTACGACCCGAAGAGATCGCGATGATCTGTAGGATGGAAGCCTTATTGGCCCAGAACGAGGACATATCCTGGGTAGCTTGGCGCTGAAGATACTTTTTCCCTTCGAAGAGCATGGCGCGTCGTGGAAAAGCTTGTAAAATGTCTGTTGCCTGCTTCATCAGCAGACTGAGGAACCAAAGGGGGGGGGGGGGGGGACATTTGCCGTCAGCTATTTTTATCTTTTCCCAAACGCAAAAGAACCTAAAAAGAACACTTCCAGAACCATCCTTGCTCTGGTATGGGCTCGAAATCTTGTTTTGAGTCTGTCCAAGTGGACAGCAAAGTGATGTATGGGCCGGAGGTTTACATTGAGTCTGCGAAAAAAACTCAATGAAACTCTGGCATTACCTTTTAAAACTGAATTATATGCAATTATTGTTCAAGGTTCGTACAGGCCTATGCTGTTTGAGGATAAGAGCAGCTGATTTCCAATTCAAAGTGGTGACTTTCACCAGCATCGTGGGCGTGTCGCCTAGGACTGAGTTTGTCACTGGGGCATTGCCATTGGTTTAGCTGCTAGGATCCCGAGAAATTCCTTCCATATCAAAGATGGTTTTCAAGGTCTAAATTTAGGGTATCAAAAGATGAGGGTTCCCAGCTAACACGAAAGTCAATGGTTGGAGTCATCGGTGGCTGGCATCAGAGCATCACGGGATAAAGTTGATGGAGAGGCCACGCAAGCAGAGTTGTGGAGATGAAAGACAGGTAGAAAACATCATATAACTCAATTCATACTTTCCCTGACCATTTCCCAATTGAGTTGTTGTAGAGAACTTAATTGATAACTACCTGCAGTCAGCACTATCCCGAGGAGTGGCTGTCTACACTGGCACCAGTAAAAGTCTGCCAGACTGCAAGGCTAGAAGATTCCGTTCTCATACATTTGTCTTGAACGATCCTTTTCTAGCTTGCATTTCAAGGTTTATATCCTTAAATATCCTCTTCCCTGATGCCGTGAAGTCTATTGTCGCCGCCTCAGAAGGCTGAATCGAGACCATCGGCACCTCCAGCGATGCATTTTGGGACACAGCTTCATATCCTCTACGGACTGCCCTCGAAACTATATCCAGAGGTATATTTTGACATTTCTTGTTAAGTTTGCAACCTCGACATCCTCAAACTCTAAAATTTCACATAAAGGGAACTTGCCCCCGACTTGTCGCTCCTTCTTCTTACCTTCCCCCAGACCAAAGACAACTTTCAAGCTTTAGCATAAAAGCAATCTTTCCCAGACTCACTCTCTCTATTCTTTCCTCCTGATTACTACACCAAAGCCTCTACTGACTCCAAAGACACCCCATTGCAGCTACAATACTACTGCACAACTCGCACTTCTTCAGCCCTACAGCCCTACAGTTCTTCAGGCACACCAGATTCAATACATCAAAAGCCATACAGACACTCTTCACTCGCACTCAGAACCACTCTAAACGCAAAGGAACCGCAAACCATAAACAGCTTCGTCAAAGATCTACACCCAATAGATCAAGTGTCAACACTAAGCCTTATCTCAACACCAAACAGCACAAGCACCAAACTTTTACTCACAACTGCTCTATAAACGGATCATCTGCACACCTTTTTGGATTATTGCAGCATTGCAACTTGTTTGGAAACGCACCATCAAAGGCAAAAACATCTCAATTATAAGGAATTATGCCTGAAGTCATGTCTGAAGTCACATCTGGAGAAACCAGGACCCATAATCCTCACCAGGATAGTGTATGTACCAAGTAGGACAAGAGAATATGACGTATTTGCTAACTCACTTCTGCAGTCTGTACAAGACGATTGCCTCCGTTATGGTCGTTATGATCGCACCGAGGGCGTTGCACCTCCCAGCTACGAGCAAGAGTACACGCCACCTGCCGGGGAAGCCCGCCTCACCCTCAGCCGTATCGAGCGCAACGGGCCTCCCAGGTACGCGCAAGGGGAGATGCCGCCTTCGTTCCCTTATTGTGAGGACGGTCCGGCGTGGACGCGCTATCACTCGGCACCGCGCCAAAACTACGTAAACAGCGGTCTCATGCGCCTTCCTGACAACGTCCTTGCCCGCATCATGACTTACGTCGACAAGGACTCGGTGCTCCGCTTACGGCACGCCTCGCGCACATTTATGCGCGTCTTCTCTGATTGCCATAACTTTTCAGGGCTGTGGCTTCCTGACCCGAGGCGCCTGCTTCCATACGTCTGGAGGGCACCCAACTGTGCATATCCGGGGCAGGGGAAGCCCAAGTTTTGCTCGTCCTGCGAGGAAGTCCGCAGCGGCGACGACGTCGCGCTCGTCAAGAGCATGAAGCACCTGTGGTGCTCCGGCTGCCAGAAGCACCACTCCGAGATGCACTTCTCGGTCATGCAACGCCCGCTCCCGAACCACGCGAGGATCTGCATCGGCCGGGAGGGCTTTGTCAAATTCTGCTCGCACGGATCGCTCAGCTGGATGCAGATGTGCAGCATGGCCCTGGCGGCAAAGGGCTCCAGCGAAATGAAGTGCACCCAGCATGACGCTGAGGGCGTCGACTGCACGCACGAGAGATGCGATTATCCTAATGTGGCGGCGGTCGATATCAAGCCCGGAAAGAATGGGGGGTACGAAATCCATTTCGTAAGCAACACCCACATCCCATTCTACAGCGCCGACGACGAGAAGCCCTACTGGGCTGCCGTCTGCCGGGCCATCCACAAGGCCGTGAACCCGGACGACGCAGACTTGTTTGTGCCCAGTCGGCGCTTCGCCGGCTGCGACCCCATAGCCGTCTTTGGCCCCAACCTCTGCAGCTGCCTCAATTGGAACGTCGCGGCCAGCGAGGAGGAGCAGTCCACCGCTCCGGGCTTCAAGTGGCGGCTCAGCGACCGGGCCTGCGGCGACTTTCGCGGCGATGCGACGGAGGAGGCCGAGTACGGCGGCATGCCGCTCGGCGAGGTCGACTTTGATACGGACCGCTGCCAGGGGGCCGAGCACGACATCTATCTGCGCGTCGGCAACCGCGACGTCTACATTATGTTTCTCCACTGCCTCAACGACGGCAACATGCTGGTTCTGCGACAGTCGTCGGTCATCTACGTCTCGTCCCCCACAGATCCCGAGTGGGAGAACCTCATTGACCGGAACAGCGTCCGGCTGACCGCCGACTCGGACATGCTCGGCAAGACGTGGTGCGGCCGCGAGGACTGCGCCGTCAACACGCTTAAGAAGCGGGGTCGCTCGCTCGGAGACGTTGAGCTGGCCGTCATGAAGGCGGCCGAGCAGGCCGCCCTGAAGGCGGCCGCGTCGCAGGACTGGCTCTCCGCCATGAAGGCTCAGATGGACCTTGCCAAGGCGGGGGCCAGGAGGATGGCGCTGATGGCGCAGACGTTGTGGTGGAAGGCTCAGATGATCAGAGCTTCCGACCAACCGCAACCTAGCCCCCCTGATATTGATGACACGGAAGACGAGGAGAGCGACGATAGCGACGACAGTAACGATAGCGACGATAGTGACGATAGCGACGATAGCGACGATAGCTACGATAGCGACGATAGCTACGATAGCGAGGATAGCGAGGATAGTGAAGATAGCGACGATAGCGACGAGAGCGAGGAGTAGGAATCAGCAAAACAAAAAAACACATAAAAAAACACACAAAAACAAGAGCAGCCAATAGATTGAGTAGCTAGCCAATGTCAAAACACGCATTTTACAAAATTACACTCTTGACCAGTGTGAATTTATGTGTAGTCAGTAGTCAGAGGTAGAAGTAGCCTTTCACCAAGACCAGACCTCCCGGCCAACCGATACAAGGCAAGTTCCCCAGCATCGAGAATCAATCTATTAAAATAGGCCTACTACGCGGCCGTCGTATATTTTGCTCGGATTCAACCACGGCGGGTCCGTCCCCCAAAATGCGGTACGAGTCGTCACATTCCCCATGACGCACTGCCCCTTTTTTGGCCCTTGTCTGGGGCCTTGACGAAGTTTGTGAAACTCCACGAGCACCCTGGCATAAGTTTGGCGCGCCGCTGGGCAACAAAGATGGGCTCGCGCAGCCTTACGAAGGGGTAAGGTACAGAGTTGTGGGACGCGGGCTGAAGGATGGGAAGGATGGTATCCAGTTCCAATAACCCGCCAGAGTGGACAAGAAACCGGTCTTGGCAGGTTCTCATTTGGAGGTCGTATTTGAATAGCCTGCGTAGTAAGATTTGTCCAATGGTTTGACCATGTTATTTTTTCAATGGCATTATGGAATGAGTAGATGGAAATGCTGGCACTGTAAAAATGACAAGAATGCGTTGTGCCAACACAAGCAGGGTATATAGACTACAATGCAACCACAAGAGTAAGCTCAAAAATAACGTAATTCTTTCCTATTTCCTGCTTATTTTCGAATCCACATTATTACTAGCCCTCTTCTGGCCATTACCCCTGTCTGGGTGGTTAGATGTTGGCGGGCCTTGCGGGCCATTGACAACTTGGCGACTCGTGAAGGAAACTGTGGTTCACAAAGAGAACCGAGTACGGTGTAATAACTAGTTAGTACCAGAGGTCAATAAGCGACGAAAGCGACGGTTGCGTGTCCTGGCCCGTCAACCCTGGGGCTGGGGTGTTTGACGACGAACATGCTACCAATATACCGGAGAAGCCATTTCCAGTGTTATTTTTAGCCTGAGCAGCAACGAATCCTTCGTGGCATCTTTACTTATAAGATGTACTCTCGTGCCTTTATAATCCAGTCAACTTGTTGGATACGACTATCGATTCGCTGATACGACTACCGACCCTCGATTCGCTCCTTGCCAACAACCTCCCCCTCCTTTGATACCCAACTGCTTCGACCACAATGTCCGTCTCGTCCTTCGATTACACCCGCGTCCTCGTGACGGCGGCCTTTACCATCATCCACTACATCACGGGCTCCATCTTCTTCGACCTCGTGCACTGGCAGGCGCACCAGAAGACGCGCAACAAGTTTGTGCGGTGGCTCAACCGGACGCACGCGGCGCACCACCAGTACTTCAACCGGCAGCTGCGGTTCAACGCCAAGTTCCGGTACGCCAATCTCGTCACGCACATGCCGCTCGAGTTTGCCTGCCAGGCCGTGGGCAGCACCGGCAGCTGGCTGGTGCTGCGCCGGCTGTACCAAACATGCGCGTGGGACCTGCTCATCGTCATGGCAGTGCAGGTGGTGCGGACGGCCGTCGTGGCGTGGAACACGGGCCACGATTCGAACCACATCCCGTACGAGACGGTGCCGAAAGACAGAAACAGCATGATTGTCGGCCCCGAGTACCACGTGCTGCACCACATTGATCCGCAAAACTACTTTGGCTCCATGGTGCGCGTCGTCGACATGCTCTTCGGCACGGCCACGACGCTCAAGGGCCGTCGCGTGGCCATGACCGGGTCCGGCGGCGCCCTCGGCAGCGCGCTGGCCAGCATCCTGCGCACAGAGCAGGTCGCGTCGGTCACGGCGCTGCGGCACGGCGTCGAGTGGTCCGCGGGCGACTACGCGCGCCTGGCGCCCATCCTGGCCGAGACGGACGTCCTCGTGCTCTGCCACGGCACCAAGGACCCGCGCGCCGCGCTGGCCATGAACTGCACCTCGGCCGTCGCCATCATCGAGCTCTTCAAGCAGGCGCGGGCGCGGACCCGGCCCGAGCTGATCCCCGAGGTGTGGTACGTCGGCAGCGAGGCGGAGCTGCACGGCGCGCTGCTGCCCGGCGACACCGTCATGCGGGCGTACGCCGCGTCGAAGCGGGCGTTTGTGCCGTTTGCGCGCGCGTACTATGACGATGACGCCATCAACTATAGGCACATTGTCCCCGCGGCGTTCAGGTCGCGCATGGGCTCGGCCGTGGTCGGCCCGGAATGGGCGGCGCGCGTCGCCGTCTGGTGGATTCGGAGGGGAGCGCAGTATGTGCCGGTGACTTACACGGGGCTCGCCTTTGTCAATTACTTTCGCTTCATGTATTGGGTCTCACCAACGCCGGCCAGCTCCCTCAAAGCGCAGAAATCGCAGTGAGCGAACACACGTTTGTATTTTTCATAGCGTTCAACGGCGTTGGGGAGCTTTTCCATGTATAGAACGGTTGCTTTTTTCAGATCAAGAATACAGTCATGATCGGTCTTTGCACAAGTTTCAGAAGATTGTGTGTAGTCAAGGTGTGAATGATTGGAGGCCTGCCAGGTGAAAAAGATCTGCCTCGTTAAGCCAGAGGCGCCTGAGCTGAAAAGGCTGAGCCGCCATCCGCTGCAGTGGCTCGCCACAGAGAGGCAGAATGACCCCCGTGGCGCAGGCACCACGCGCCGTATTCGGCGTAGCTTGTCACATTCTAGCAATTCGGCAAGAAATGGAAAGCGACTACTGGTAAGAAGGAACGCCTCAGGATCTGAATGGCTACCTAGGTAGTTATTATTTAGGTACCTACCCGTTCGCGTGGCGTCTGTGCGGAGGCCTCTACACCAGTCGTACGAGCTACAGAACACCAAACAAGCTCTTTGCCATGGGCGTACAGAAACTAGCCCAGAGTTAAATACGCCGTCATTTCCCTCGGATACCAAGGTCCTCAAACGCATACATCTGGACATTGCAAACTATTTACAACACTCGCCTCTACCGCGCCGAAACCGTAAGCCGCCCACCATCTCGACAACCCAACCACTGCTAATCAATGTGACAGGACTGCCAGGATTGCCAGGATGGGCCTTCACTTCTCCAAGTATTTTGGCGGCAAGCATTTTGGAACGAGCCTCTTCATCGACAAGCATGGCGTGAGAAGGGGCGCGACGAGATTCAGCTTCTGCGGCTGGAACTGCTTCCGCAATTAATAGGCGGGGGGCGACGGCGATACTGGCGTCTTCATGACATTGATTCTTGATGGACGTCCTTTTTTATTTGATACCAGGCGCATAGCAATTTGAGCGAATTTTCCAATAATATTTTTTCCCTCCTTTGGGTTTCTTGACGGACCGCGAGAGAGAACGGCTGCCAGTGCATTGTAACCAGCTGGTTTAGCGCTCGTTGTGCGCTTTTCGGCGCTGTAACCACTTGATGCGCCAGGCATCCCATCGTCGACAACTTTGACCCACCAGCGCGTCGACTTGAACTCTGCCTTTGCAACAACTCGCCATTCACGCCGGCCATCATCACCTGGCCGCCGGGTCATATCTCGAGCGTGGAAGCCACGACTATGCCGTGATGGCGGTACTCAATTTCACCCTGAGCGAAGAGGGCGTCTCTGGCTTTCGAGATGCCCTCATCTGCCTCAACAAGTTTAGCGACGATGTGTCCCTCGAGGCGCGCAAGGACGCTGTGAGTTTTCTCCTGAGCAGCATCCGCAGTCCCAAGACGACCAACTAACAGCCCTGCAAGTTTACCTTGAGCACACTCAACAGCTCCAAGTCGGCCTACGCGAGCTTCAAGTTCACCACCACCCGCTTCTTTTCACGCTACACCTACCAGGGCACCGGCCAGGCCAGGGAGCGCTTCCACTGCAACATGTACATTCGGGTAAGTTGCCAGACGTAGAGTGTGATGCCCGTGCCACCGCTAACCCAGCATGCCCGCAGTCACTCATGTCGCTCTTCCGCAGCCGCTCTGCGGCTGATAGCCAGCGGGACCGTGACGCCGAAAAACAGACCCTGATTGACCGCTGCGACGTCGCCATTGAAGACGGCCAAGGCGTCAAGAGCCGCTTCATTGCCCGCATCGTCTTCCGCACTGGTCTCACGTCTACCCACCGCCTCTCTTTTGAGACTGGCGTGCCGGTGCACGCCAAGTTCAGCAAGACGGACGCGCCGCATCACTGGTCCATGTCGTCCCGCACGCTGCGCCAGCTCATGGACCACTTTGGCCCGGGAATCGACTACCTGGACATCAACACCGATGGCGATCATGTCAATTTTACATGCTTTAGCGAAAAGACGGTCAGCGAAGATGGTACGAGATCTTGTCTTTGCCTGGTGACTCTACGACTAACTAGTTCTAGCCGTCTTGAAAAAGCCCCTTCAGACCTCAATTGCGGTCGAAGCAGATGAGTTCGACGATATTGAGGTCGAGGACAAGCTTCACATTGTAATCTCGGTCAAGGATTTCCGTGCCATTATCCAGCACGCCGGCATTGGCGGTTCTACTCTGTCCGCTCGATACTCCATCCCCGCTCGCCCAATCCAGTTTTCCTACGCCGGAGATGCCCTGTCCTGCGAATTCCTCATCATGACTGTCGGAGAGCGAGGAAGCAACCCTGCCCAGAAGACGAAGAAGGGACGCAAATCAGCCCCGGCTGGCAATGCACCGCGGCTCGAGGCCGCGTCTCGTAAGACGAGTATCGCGCCATCCGAAGCCCCTGCCCCTCGTCCAGAGACGACACAGCCGCCACCACAAGCTTCGGCCAGGGTCCCGCCGCCGTCTGCATCGCGGCCTGTGGGCACTATTAGGGCTAGTGTCTCGCGCATGTCCGCCTTTGATCTTCGTCCCTCGCAGCCACCGCCGCCGCCGACTTTGCGGTCCGAGAGTCTATTTGTCGAGGATGAGGGCTGGGAGCCGGTACGGGACGAAGACGAAGATGCGGAAGAGAATGCGCAGCTTGGATGGGACCACAGCGCCGACCCCGATCCCATTTCGGTGAGTGACAGAATCTGGCAGTACATTGGTCAGGCGCTGACGAACAGACGCATTCATTTATGCACATGAGCAGGCCGGAGCCGGCTCCTCCTACACACGACCAGCTCAACCAACCTGCAGACACTTCCACCTTTCTCGAACCCACCCAAAAGCTGTCCGATGTGCAGAATCTTGGTTTATTCCCCGACTGAGCGAGTCGCATTTGATGCAGATGGCTCGAGCTCACCGCGGCGCTATGCAGACCCAGCTGGTCGCACAGCCGGCTCCAATACTTGCTATTTGCGAGTCTGCCGGAACGTACTTTGACGAAGCAATAACATTCCAGCGACCCTTTACATTGTTGTTCTCAACCTTGGGTCCGCAGTTGCCGTGCTCGCCCCAGCCCCAGGACAGGACGTCGCCGTCCTGGGCGTGCGCAACGACGTGCTCGCTGCCAATGGCGATTTTCGTGAGTATTGGCAGATTTGGCGGTGGCAGCTGCCCGTGGTCGTCACGGCCCCAGCCGAGAAGCGTGCCGTCCGTACCGAGAATGTATATATTTCCCCAGCTAGCTCCAACATCAGCCCAATGCGGCACCTCTGCAGGCCGGCCCGAAGATAGCGTCCACTTGTCGAGGCCCAGCACGGCGAGGTCGCCGCTGGCGGGCTCGCCAAAAAATGCAGTCGCTTCCTTTGCGCACACGGCCCGGGTGACCTTGAACTCCAAACCCTCGACCTTTCGTGGTGAATATATGACTTGCTCCGGCACGCCCGCCTGTCCCTTGCGGCAGTTGCCCCATCCATAGGCGTCGCCGTTACTCAACACCACGACAACATGGCCCATGCAGGCAGACATGTCGACGATTTCCGTATTCGGCGGCGGGAAATCCGTAAACGCAGTGGCCGACGGCGTCCGCACAATCAGCTCGCCCTGGCCAAGCTCGCCCTTCATGCCCACACCGAAGCTGTAGAGCCTGGTCGCCCTGCCGTCCGCATCCTGCGCTACGAGAAAAGACGCCTCCCACGTGCAGGCGATGAAGCGGACGCGGCCGACTCCGCTTCCGCCGTCCCGGACCAGACGCAGCTCTTGAAAGACGGGCACGTCGGTGCGCGGCCCGAGGCCGCACGCGCCCGTCGCCGAGTCGCCGCTCCAAAGGACGTGCCCAGCGGCGGTCCGCAGCAGCGTGTGGTTGCCGCCGGCGGCCACCTGGACGATGACCGAGTCGGGCTGCGCAGGGTGGAAATGCACGGGTTTCGGCACCGACACGTCCTCTAGGTGGCCGATTCCGAGCTGCCCGGAGCCGTTGGAGCCCAGAGCAAAAAGCGCATTCATTTTGTGCTGGCGTTACTTAGGTAGTTATGGCTTGCTGGAGCTTTCTCTTTCCCATCAACCAAGCCGTCGTCAGGCAGAATGCTGAGGTAATCATTCGACCCACCATAGAACTTTTACTTAAGTCGGCTCGATTTTTTTCTCAAGCTTCTCCAACCTCCATTCACCCGCAACCCCCAAAAAATCTTCTCCTTTCTTTTAGGGCACAGGACCACAGGACTGAACTGCTGCCTTTCTCTGCAGTGCAGTAGAGGAATGTGAATATATTGAACCTGTCGTGTTCTTTTTTGCATTTTTGCTTCTTGGCCTCCGTTATCCTTCAGATTCGGAAGAATTTTTATCAAAAGACGAGGAAGCAATGGCAGCAGCTTCGCGTCATGTCCCTGCGGGGATGGAAAACTTTGTTGTCGGCTTGATTGGCATGGGCGACATGGGACGAATGTACGCCGAGAGATTGTCTGAAGCTGGCTGGAGGTAAGTTTTCACAACCGTGACATGTTTGTTGCTCCTTTTGCATCACGCCTATGGTAAGCTCTCCCCCCCGTTTTTCTTCCCTTGATACACCACACCTCCAACGCCGGTGTGTTCTTTTTTTTCAATGATGACCAGAGCGCATTTGGCTCGAGTATTGCCGGGAAGAACCCTAGCACCGTTCCGGTGAGAGGGAAGGACTCGGCAATCTTTGATGAAAACGCTAGCTACCTTAATACAACTACTGTCTGATGAAAAAAAGAACACAACCTGGCGGTACCCGCGTCTTTTGCTCTACCTACACATTTTTTTTGTTTTCCGCAACGAGGCAACCATGTGCTAACGATGCAAAACAGTTATTCCTCGTAAACCGCAAACAATGATACCCATGATTTTTCCCACCTCGGTCTTACATGCCAGCAAAGCATCGTTTTGGCTAACACCGCCCCCCCTCGTGCCTCGTTGTATTATAGAATACTGGCATGCGACAGAGAAGATAGATATGATAGCCTGAAAGAAAGATATTCCGCCAATGTACGAACCGCCAGTCCCATGTACCTTGTTCCTTTTTTTTTTTTGCCCCCCCGCGACGCCTTGATATATTCTTGAATGCTGAGAGGTCTTGTAGAAAAACATTGAGATTTGCCGCAACGGGCATCTCGTCTCTCGCGCGAGCGACTACATCATCTACAACGTCGAGGCGGCCGTAATCGACAGCGTCATTGCCAGCTATGGACCGTGTACGTTTTTTTTTTTTCCCTCTCCCTCGCTGCGCCCTCTCTCCGCATTCCTCCTCCTCCTAACGCCATCGCAAAACCCCTCTAGCCACCAAGCTGGGCGCCATTGTCGGCGGGCAGACATCCTGCAAGTCGCCCGAGATTGCCGCGTTCGAGAAGCACCTGCCGGCCGACGTGGACATTGTGTCGTGCCACTCGCTGCACGGCCCCGGCGTGGACCCGACGAACCAGCCGCTGGTGCTGATCCAGCACCGGGCGCCCGACGCGTCGCTGCGCAAGGTCGAGGCGGTGCTGCGGTGCCTGCAGTCCAAGTTTGTGCACCTCTCAGCGCGCGAGCACGACCGCATCACCGCCGACACGCAGGCCGTCACGCACGCCGCCTTTCTCTCCATGGGCAAGGCCTGGCACGCCAACCGCCAGTTTCCGTGGACCATGAGCCGCTACGTCGGCGGCATCGAGAATGTAAAGGTCAATCTGATGCTGCGCATCTACAGCCAGAAATGGCACGTCTACGCCGGCCTCGCCATTCTCAACCCCGAGGCCCGCGAGCAGGTCGCCCAGTACGCCCGCAGCGTCACCGACTTGTACAAGCTCATGCTCGTGGGGGACCTCGACGGCCTGCGCGCGCGGCTCTACGCCGCCCGCGACAAGGTCTTTGGCACGGATGCCTGGGGCGGCGGCAACGACAACGATGGCCGGCCGCTCATTGAGCCGTCGGTGCTGTCGAGCTTCGCGCTTGGCCAGCCCGACGACGACGACCCGGCCACGCACCGTGCCAACAACCACCTGTCGCTGCTCGCCATGGTGGACTGCTGGGCCGAGCTTGGCATTGTGCCGTACGACCACATGCTGTGCAGCACGCCGCTGTTCCGGCTGCGTCTCGGCGTTACCGAGTACCTCTTCCGCACCCCGGCGCTGCTCGACGCCGCCCTCGTCACCGCCGTCGAGGATCAGACGTACCGCAGCGACGACCTCGAGTTCACCTTTGCGGCGCGGGCGTGGGCCGAATGCGTCAGTCTGGGTCACTTTGAGACGTGGCGGAAGCGCTTCGAGAGCACGCAGGCGTTCTTCGAGCCACGCTTCGCCGAGGCCAAGATAGTGGGTGACCAGATGATGAAGAAGGTGTTTGAAAGCAGCAAGCCGTGAGAAAGGGGTCGTTATTTTTAGTCTGCAAGCGAGTTTATAATTTAATGAGATTGGACATGAGACCATTGTATGCGACGTCGTTTGTAGTTCCATATGGTCATAATGTGCTATGTATACAAAACTCGAACACGAGGAATAGGTCAAATGGCATTTCACTTCTCGGGAATGGCCCTAGACTGCCGTGATCATGTCGGAAATGCCGCGCTCGAAACCACTACCGGCCCCGAGTCGCAGATTGGTATAACTGGACTCTGTGTCGCTACGAGTGTGCATGCCAAGAGGACGCGCGCTACACCTGTGGTTAGCGGTCTATCTAATTTAATGGACAATTTATAGAGGCAGCACTTACACGTCGAACATGGGCGAACTTTCGCACTGAAATGCTGGCTCTGTCGCCACACACACAGGCAGCTTCTCTTGGGTCCGCAGCGGCGAAATGCCCTCGAAATTGTTACACGGGGGCGAGCGCGTCAGCGTTCCTGGGCACTGGGATGGCTCGGTGACGGGGCAGGGTGCGTTGTCAGGCAAGGTGTCTCGGGCTACAGGAAGTCGGCCGCCGCAAGCAATCTGTCGCTCCAGAAGGTCCATGAGGCAGAGACTGGGGTTAAGCCACGAGAGGCGCGACGAGCTATCGGGTGTGTACTAGAACTGTTGCGTCAACGATTATTCATGACAAGGTCGGCTGCACAAGACTGACAGTAGGAAGGGGTCGTTGACCAATGGCCTTGACGATGCGCGCGTCCGTAACCGGGCGGCCGGCAATAGTCTGGAAGCCGAAGCCGGTGGCGGCGGTGGGCGGGATGCGGCCGTTGGCGATGGCGTCAAGACTAATGTAGGCGCGGTCGACGCAGGTGGGCCTGCAGCGAGCGCAGACGCGGTAGAGACATTCCTTATGAGCGGTGCTTCCCTACAGCTTCCGGTACTCGTATGGATTGGGCAAGGGCTCGGTAAGGTCAAAGAGGCCGTCGTGGGCAAAGAGCGACGTGCCGTTTTGCGTCATGCGGTCCCGCTGGATCATGGATTGGACCTGCAAAACGTGTTAGTGGAGGTCGTACTTGTGAAGCAAGGAGTGTAACCTTTTCCTTTTGCCTCAGCAGTGTGGCGATCTGATCGGGACGGTAGCTGGCCATTTTCTCAGAGCTGATTTGGTCTAGGAAGCTGAACTTGTCTTGGCAATCGGGGACACTGCTCCGTCGAGCGTTCATGTCCGCCACCATGGCAAGACCGATTTGGTCACAGCAGTTCTGATGTAAGGCATCAGTTTCAAGGTATACTATGGTGACAATGGTGGTACTTACAAGATCGCCTTGGGCGAGGGCGTCGTCAATGATACCCTCCTTGTCCTGGGTGCATTGGTACACCCAACCAAAGTTGCCTGGCCGATGGCAGGCACCGCAGAGATGGGATACTCCGTATACGCGAGTCATAGTGACATGCGTACACTGTGCTTTGAGATCGGCTGGGCGAGCAATAGATTTGATGGCCTTTCGTAGCGGCATCGTATCCCAGGCGAATCACTGGCGGGCGGGAGTGACTAGAGAAGGAACAATGCTGTTCTCCGAGACCATCTAGCGAAGGGAAAGATTGAAAGAAAAGGATACTTGTTGAATGAAACAATAGCGATTGCGATTGGGAAGAGACAAAGAAAAATGCAAGAGTAAATGTGATGTAATAGTAGGCGAGAGCAGCAGCAGTGGCAGCAGGGCAATTACACGAGACTAGGCGAAAGGCATTGATTTAGGGGCCCAGCGGGAAGAATCATGGCAGCAGAGTTGGAGTTTGACGCGTCAGAGAACTGGCAGGAAACTTGGAGAGCGTGTCTGGAAGAGGATGGGTTTGCGAAGTAAACAAGAGCAAGCGTTTGCCAGGTGGCAGGTGCCAGGGTGGCGGGTGTGCAAACGGCGTATAACGTCAGAAAATAAAGAGACAGCTACAAGGTAGGTAGGGAAGTAGAGAACCGATAGGCAACGCAGATTTACTACTATGTGATGTCTGTTGAGAACCTAGAATAGCTTTCTCTACCCCATCAGTGTATCTGGCTGATAGAAACAGTGTAGATACTATGTACATATACTCCCTGTTTGCGGGCAGTGTCAAGTGCCCACACGAATACCTCGGCAAAGACCCATGCAAGTTTTGCCAATCGATGGATAACGTAACGATCTGCAGGAAACCACTGCGCAGTATTTTCCCTAGCAGCTTGCACCCATTAACCATAAACGCGCTGAACCAATGTCAACAAAGACGAGTGGCTAGTGGTTGCCAGGGACGCAAAACAGCCTCGGAACCAATAGCGCACCAGGGGTACCAGCCAATGGGAATGCTCAACGTTTTTGGGCCCACTAACGGGGCTGCCCAAAAAAAGCCGCCCCCGTCCAGCCGTCCAACCGTCGCGACTCGCCGACTTCCAGCTTCCAGCGGTCGTAGCGCTCCATTTTGCAGCCGCACCAGAGCCAGCTTAGCGGTCTTTTAGGGTGTCCTCCGCCAAGTCCCGGTAGTGCTGCTTTCGCTGCGTGACAGTGCCTGCCTCACTTGCGTGGCGTCGACGGGCTCACATCACTGAACCAAACTTATGCTCTTCCCCCCTCCCCCCCCGGTCCGAGCTCTTCTTCCACTCTTCCTTCCTGAACAGAAATTATTGCCAACCATCGCGACCAATCCGTGCTGGACGCCCTGTTCGTCGCCGCCGCAACTTGTCTGCCCTGTACGTTCCTCGTCCTCGCCTCCTAGCATCGCTCCGCGCGCAACAGCACTGCTCCGTCCCACTGCGTGTTTGCTTGTCAACAAACCCAGTTGGGTCGCTACCGTCCGCACAAGGCACCACCGCCGCGCCTCGTATTGAAGCCCAAGACCCAGCGACGACGACCTCGACACAGAAAAAAGCGCGCCGGAGTGAATTATTGGTTCTACGAACTTGCTCATCTAACAATTCCAGTAGACACCTATTCTGACGGCCCCCCCTCTTCTTTTGCTGCCGATTCTCGCACCAAAACGATCGTGCCCGAGAGACAACGCCTCTTCCCCAATTTCCTCCGAATACCCACCAACCTCCATCCTTCCCGCCCATCATGTCGGTCAAGTTTGAACGGGACACATTCCAGCAGACGGCGCAAAGCGTCGTGGGCAATGCGGCCAAGAGCGGCCAGATCCCCGGCACCAGCGGCAAGCACCCACTCGCCGAGAAGCTCGGCACCGCTCTGACGGGCGGTCTCGACAATGCTGGAACCAAGGGCTATCTTTCTGTGCGTAGCCTCGCCCCTTTACCCTCGCTGCAGGTCATCTTAGCCGCTGGCGATGCGCCCGCTCTCGGCTGATCGCTAACCTAACCACCTCGGCAATGCAGGCCTACATCAAGCAGCTCGAGTCCAACCCGCTCCGCACCAAGATGCTCACCGCTGGCGGCCTCGCCGGTCTCCAGGAGCTCCTCGCCTCGTTCCTCGCCAAGGACCGCAACAAGAACGGCAACTACTTCACCTCGCGAGTTCCCAAGATGGCCGCCTACGGTGCCCTCGTCAGCGCGCCCCTCGGCCACGTCCTCATCTGGCTGCTGCAAAAGGTCTTCCACAACCGCACTAATCTCAAGGCCAAGATTCTGCAAATCATCGTCAGCAACCTGGTGGTACGTTGCGCCTTGAATTGTCACTATAGCACCGCAGAATCCCACTAATTGTCTCCAGATTGCTCCCATCCAAAACAGCATCTACCTCGTCGCCATGGCCCTCATCGCCGGCGCCCGCACGTTCCACCAGGTTCGCGCCACCGTCAAGGTCGGTTTCTGGAAGGTCATGAAGGTATCCTGGGTCGTCTCGCCCCTCTCCTTGGCCTTTGCCCAGCAGTTCCTTCCCAACCACCTCTGGGTGCCCTTCTTCAACGTCATCGGCTTCGTCATTGGTACATATGTCAACACCACCACCAAGAAGAAGCGCCTCGCAGCCCTCCGCAAGAAGCACTTCGGTGACGGCCGCAGCAACCTGGGCCGCGACGACTACCCTCCTCCCGGCATGGGCGGCCCCATGGGCGGTCCTATGGGCCCCAACCCTCCCTACTAATAAAGCGATTGGTGCGAGTCGGCCTCGGTCGACGTGGGCGATCCTTGCCTCTGTGGCCGACTTGTGGGAGACTAGAAGATAGATGGCACTTGGACGATGGATTTCTCTGGAGTACAGGAGCAGCTCTTGAGACGGACGGCGCGGCGAAACAAGAGCTGTTCTGGCTAGTTGCAAAGTGTATATGGGAGAAGGGGCAGAGATGACGAAATCTGGTGTTTTTTTGCGCGCATGGACCTTGTATAAATCTCTTTGGCCAGATGTGCTGATTATTTTTAAAGTACTTATTGAATGCGAACTGCTTATGAATAATTGTTTGGACGAAACGTCGGGTATGTTGTGTCTGTCGTGTATGCGTCTATCATGCAGGGTCTCGAACCTATGCGCCTTGTGTCTGAATAACGTCACATATCCCTGTACGGGGTGCTCTTATGTATCCGCTGTTGCTGGTTCGCCATCAGTTCCGCCTATCCCTGCCATGAACGCCGGGCTCCAGTACTGCCACTCGCCACCAGTCTGCTTGTCGACCCAGAGCATGCCCTGCGCGACCAAGTCGTCAATGACGGTCTTGCACCGGGCGGGCTCCCACGCCAGATTATCGCGCAGCATGCCGACGCTGACGTGGCCGAGGACCTGGGCGGCCTCGACGCAGCTGGCCTGGTCGCGACTGAGCTCGCGCGGGACGCTCCGCACATACTCGGTCTCCCCCACGGTGACAATGGCGTAACTACCGCCGAGCGGGCGCAAGGTGGCGACGGCGCGGCGCACGTCGTCCTCGGAGACGTGGGCGCCGCCGCCGGCGACCTTGTCGCGGGAGACGCGCTCGCGGACCTGTGCGAGCGACACGAGCCCGCCGTTCTCGGCGCGCGTGGCGCCGCACACCTGCACGACGCGCACGGCCACGTCAAAGTAAAAGTCGTTGACCGTCTTGCCCAGCAGCTGGCCCCAGACGGACGGGGACGCGGCGGCAGCGGCGCCCGCCGAGGACGCGAGCGGGTCGACGCCAATCGCGCTGCACATGCGCGCAAACTGCGCCCGGAAGGACGGGTCCGATCGGATGTCGCGCGCGTGCGTCTGCGCGAATTGCTGCAGCAGCGTCCGGAACACGGCCAGCTGCGTCTCCAGCGCCTGCGCGTTGGTCGCCCGCAGCGACGACCCGTGCGACGCGTACTGCGCAGACGTCAGCCGCGAGCGGTCGAGCGCACCGATGCCCACGGCTTTGCGGGACATGGCGAGCGGAGCTGTATGTGGTTGTGATGGAATGGAGGTGTGGTGTGGGAAGTCGAGGATGGGAGCGTTTGGAGATGTTCTGGCTGTGACATGTTGGGTGTGCGGGGGCACAGCCTTGGTGGCGGGGTATTGTCTCCGCGCTAGAAACCTAACTAGCATTGATGTCCGCCGAACACTATAAAAATAGCCGCCGTGATTTTATTAGCTTTCCTTCTTTTCTTTGTTCCAAGTCTCCGTAAAGTTGCCACGGTCAAAAAACGGGAACAAACTAATAAAGAATCGGCACGGCAGCGGGCGCCCCGCGTGACCACTGTCCACCATTGTGCGAACCAACACCAGACAAGCAAAGCGCACCCGTGCTGGGGCCGCAGTCTTTGACGGAACATGTACGCAATACAATATTTTGGTTCTGCAAGTACTGCCTCGCACACCTTGCCACCCCCTCACCAGAAGCAGACAAGATGGTCAATCGCTATACTAGCTATATTTCCTTCCTCACATAGATGAAAATCTCCCGCAATTTAGTCATCAGTTCTTCATCCCCAGGCGAAATCGGAAAGTCAATTTTCTCTTCATACGCTTTCCACATGTCTACCGTTCGGGGAGAATCCGCATCCACCCACGGTTTTCTGTTGTAAACAAGACATGTTAGTAACAAGTCCAACTCTAGCAGCCTACAGGTGACTTACTCCGAGTCATTAAAGACGTCAAAGCCAGAGCTGATTATGACCGATGGCCGCGCAATATCCGCGATAATCTGTTTAAGAGGCGCCTCGATGAAGACGGAAAAGACAAAGCTGTCCTCGTCAATTTCCGCAAAGCCACCAGCGCCATAGTCTCCAACGACGGAAAACCCGTAATTCGTCAACACTGCTTTGGCTTCATCTGTATAGTCTGGGTCTTGTGCGAGCAGTTGGACATGGTCACCAGTCATCTCGCGGCAGACTTGTGCAAGAGTCAAAGCGATGGCATGTTGGGTCATTGCGGCGCGGACAAAGCTAGCTTCCAAGTTGTCGCCTTGGGCGGAAGAATGTCTGCGCCACCACTCTGGTGGTATGCGACAGATATCACCCAGACCAAGGCAGATTATCTTCTTGACGGTTCTAAGAGTGGCCGTTTTTTGTAACTGCGACTTTAAAAGCTCGCAGCTGTCGCTTTTTAGCCACGAAAGCCTAGTCTCCTCGAAGAGTGAGCCTGGATTCAGAATGACACCACGGAAGCTTCGAGCAGACGTATTGATCCAGTGTGGCAGATAGGAGCAAAGATACATCTCCTCCGGGTCGTCGGGTTGATGCGTAACTAGTCGCCAATATTCTCGGAATCTAACACGGGGCTTCCTGACGCAAGGTTTAGCCATCCATGTACATGAGTTTAGTTGACTACTTACCATATCGGAAACTCTACTTCAAACATAGGATTCGCTATGGCGAGCGTAGCGCCGTCAATAGAGCGGATCGTGAAAACCGGTGTGGTCGTATAAGCCGCTAATTGCCTTTCAATGTCGCGTAAGTCTGCCTTTGTCCAGAGCTTCACCCCTTTGGTGTACAGGGTCGCTGCCTTCTGGCTGCTGATTCGCCAAGACGTGTAGTCATGCTGAAGTATATGCTCGGGCGGCATCATTGAGACCTGTTGTACAGGGCGAGAGAATTTGACAAGGAGATAAAAATATCTCTGTTCTTTGTAGTGGTACGTTTCTTTGAAGGGCTAGGTTTCTTTGTGTGGGTAGGCGGGTGCCTTTTCAAGACGTACAAGTACAGGTGACACAGGTTTCTAACCAATGAGAAGCCAGCGTGAGCTCTCTGCTTGCGCAGTCACAACAGTTGCTTACATCAAATCGCGTTAATAAAGCAACGGTGCATGTTGGGGATTAGAAAGTACAGATGTGGCGCCGTTGTGGCGTTGGGAATAGACGCAGGAGCCGAGCCCGACGACATTGATGCATAGGGGGAACCATATTTATATGAGTTACAGGAAGGGAACAGTCAGATAATGTGGAAGTACAGTTTCCCAGTGGCCATTTCAACGCCAATTCCTCGCCGCTGATACAGGGAGCAGTGTATTGGCGCAACAAGGTGGTCAAGCTGCTTCGGTGTCTTTCGGTGGGGGTGTAGGAAGACGGACGATCGGTGCAGACAGGCGACTCGAGTTTGTCGTTTATTGTAAAGGCGTGTTGCGGAAGGGAAAGCGAAAAGAGCTGGGGCGCTTCGACGTCGTGCGTGATGGCACAGAACGGATGGTGTTGGTGTGGCTGGTGAAGAGTACGTAGCCGGCGGCTGCCTTGCACCAGCCACAACAAAAATCAACCAACCAACCAGCCAACCAGGGCGCGTGCTGACACAGGCGGACCAGGCGGACCAGGCAGCCAGCCGGGCGGCACTAGCCTCTCGCAGGTGCGGCGGAGCGTTAACCCCCACCACAGATTTTCAAACAAAGCCGTCCCTCCAAAAAGCCCACCTGGCTTTGCTTGCGTTTTTCTCGTCGTCATAAAACCACATCTGCCATACACGTAAATAGACATGGCCAACAGATTCCCAGGTGCCGGCGCCGAAGGCACGGTCGAGATTGACCTCTATGGTACGTCTGCCCTGCACACCGCATCTCGCCTCGCCCCCCGCCACAGCCGTGGCTCGCCTCCGCTGCTAACCAACCCGACTTTGTCTCTGCAGAGGTGCTCTCCATCGAAAAGTCGGCCTCGGGCGACGAGATCAAAAAGGCCTACCGCAAGGCCGCCCTCAAGTTCCACCCCGACAAGGTCCCCGAGGACCAGCGTGAGGCCTCCGAGGTCAAGTTCAAGGAGGTGACGCGCGCCTACGAGATTCTCGGCGACGAGGAGAAGCGCCGCCTCTACGACACACACGGCATGGCTGCCTTTGACCCCTCGCGCGGCGGTCCCGGCGGCCCCGGCGGCGCCGACCTCAACGACATCCTCTCGCAAATGTTTGGCTTCAACATGGGTGCCCAGGGCGGCGGCCCCCGCCGCCCCCGCAAGGGACCCGACGAGCAGCAAGAGTACAAGGTCACGCTCGAGGAGCTCTACCGCGGCAAGACGGTCAAGTTTGCCGCCAACAAGCAGGTCCTCTGCAGCGGCTGCAAGGGCACCGGCGGCAAGGACAAGGTCAAGCCCGACCCCTGCGGACGCTGTCGCGGCCAGGGCATCGTCGAGGGCATCCGCCAGATCGGCCCCGGCATGATGCGCCGCGAGACCATGCTCTGCGACGCCTGCCAGGGCGCCGGCAGCAGCTTCAAGGAAAAGGACCGCTGCAAGAAGTGCAAGGGCAAGCGCACCAACCAGGAGAAGAAGGTCCTTGAGCTGTACATTCCCCGCGGCTCCAGCCAGGGCGAGCACATCGTCCTCGAGGGCGAGGCCGACCAGTTCCCCGACCAAATACCTGGAGATATCATCTTTACCCTCGCCGAGGAGCCCCACGGCACCTTTTCCCGTCTCGGCAACGACCTCTCTGCCGAGCTCAAGATTTCCCTCAGTGAGGCCCTCGGCGGCTTCAACCGCGTCGTGCTCGAGCACCTCGACGGCCGCGGCATTTCCATCGAGCGCAAACAGGGTCAGCTTCTGCGTCCCGGTGACTGCCTCCGTGTCCCGGGTGAGGGTATGCCGTTCAAGCGCGGCGACGCCAGGGGTGACCTCTACCTGCTCGTGGCGGTCGAGTTCCCCAAGGACGACTTCCTCCAGGACGTCGCCTCGTACGATTCCCTTCTCAAGATGCTGCCGCCGCCCCTCACTGGTCCCAAGACGGACGAGGTGGACGACGTCGAGTACGAAGACGATGCCGACATTGAGACTGTAAGTTGATGCACATGATGCACGTGTGAGACGCGGGACTAATTCTGTCTAGATGGGCGAGAACTCCGAAGACCCCCGTGCTCGCGGCGAATGGCAAGAAGACGGCGCGGAAGACGGCCAGCCGCAGTGCCAGGCCCAGTAAACGAGACATATGATGCAGGACAAAAGTTGATACACTTGATATTATTTGCTCGTACCACATGAAGCTGAGGGACTTTTTGACAGGTGTTTATATAGAGAAAGTTGGTGTTGATGATGATGAACGGGGAGTTGACGGGGAGTTGACGAGACAAGAAGGGAATTGAAACGAAGACTGAGAAGAGTTGGAGCGTCCAAGAAAGATACACCTCTCTTTATTTTATACACTTGATATCTATACAACCTTTTGGATTTAGTAGACTACCTTGAGCCAGGTTGGGATGGCTACCCAGAGCTGTCCCACGCTCGGCGTCCCATCCCCGTACCGCAACACTGCATTATATTGCCGAGACGACATTTGTTAACCAGTAGTAGAGGTCCCCTATCCACTCAATCAATATCACCAAGATATGGATACTTTGCAGCACAATCAAGTTGCAGCTCAGGTAGGTGTACGCTACCCGTAGCTACCCGGTATTAGTTTCCAATGGCTTATAACCTAGGAAGTTTAGTCGGGATATTTTCCAACTTTCTATGCTGCGCGTTTTCCATGTCGAATTATTTTCTCGATCCGTCTACGTCTGCCTCCAACCAGGCTGCCAACGTCGTAAACCGTTTGCTCGCACGACAGCGACGGATCCCCCATCTCTCACCCCCGTGTAGGTCGAGGACAGATGCACGCCGCAGTGACGACACGTAGGGCTGCGTATGCAAACCATTACCATTGACTATATTTGGAAGTCATGACGTCTATATCGTATAAAAAAAGGCCACAAATTCCCGTTCACCGCGTAGTGTGTGCGCTGCACCATGCCCGTCCGCCACCACCACGCGGCCGCCCAATCAGCACCGTGGCCGTGATCGGATGGGCTTTTTGGGGCCTGCATTAGCTCGTCGCTGGAATTACTTTGCCCTGATAGTATCATGGTGAGAAGAGAGAGACGGCTCGTGGTCTCGTGCTGAAAGCAATCAGACAATAGGAGACGGCCCTTGGTAGAGCACAGTAAATCGTGTCCTGCCAGTCGGTTCCATTTTGAACCACAAGACAACACAAAAGCTACTCTTCTTACCATTATTGGTTATGCGACATGTGTTATGGAACCCATGTATATGTGCGTGTTGGGTTCTAATAACTCGTTTGACCGCCTCCATACAAGGCTGACGGCAGGGCAATTGGCAATGAAACTCGCCATTGATGAACTGGATATTAATTCATTCAGAACCTTTACGAGCGCCCCTGCGGCGAATACCCCGCGTGCTCTAAAGCCGACGCCATCAACGGGCGTTCGGGTTGTAGCGGGACACGGCGGAGCTGGACCCCAAGCTTTTTTTCTTTGGTGTAAGCCGTAACCGGCAACCGCTCCTTGCTAGCATTCCCAACAGATTGGCGCCGTAGCTTGCCTTGTCGTAGATGATGGTCGTTCCTTCTCCTACCAATTCCATCATTATCTGAGACGTCTGGATTTTCCCTCTTCTCTACTCCTCTTCTTTTTCTGCCTTACTGGTCTTGCAGGGGCTGTCCCCCGTCCAGTACTGCCCCGTTGTCCGCAATCACCCCACCACTGACTTTCCGTCATCGCAAGCCCCCCCCCCCCTCCGGAACCCAAACCGTCCTCCCTTCCGCATCGTCAGACACACACGCACAAACACGACAAAGAAAACTCGCCATCATGGGCCAATCCGTCCCGCAAGACTCCTCGCCCGCGCTCGCCGAGAAACTATGGACGCACCCGGACCCGGCCTCGACGCCCATGTGGCAGTTCATCCAGCGCGTCAATGCCCGGCGCGGCCTTGCCCTCGCGGGGTATCCCGATCTCTACCGGTGGTCCGTCGAGCACGTTGCCGACTTTTGGCGCGAGACCTGGGACTTTGTCGGCATCGTGGCCTCGAAGGAAGCCGATGAGGTGTGTCTTCTTCCTTTTATCTTGTCCTGGTCTGTTGCCAGTACAATACTGACAAGCAGGAGCTAGGTCCTCCCCAAAGACGCGCCCATGTACCCCCGGCCCGACTTCTTCGGCACCGCGCGTCTCAACTTTGCCGAGAATCTGCTCTTCCCGCCCACGTCCACACCCCTCGACCCGTCCGCGACCGCTGTCTTCACAACCACGGAACTCCCGGGGGACCTGCGCACCACATCCTGGGCCGAGCTACGCGAGGCCGTTAGGCGTTGCGCCGCCGCCTTACGCGCCGCCGGCCTGCGCCCGCACGACGTCGTCGCCGGCTACGTCTCCAACCACGTCGAGGCGCTCGTTGCCATGCTGGCCGCGGCCTCGCTCGGCGCCGTCTGGACCGGCATCAGCCCGGACAATGGCGTGTCGGCCGTGCTCGACCGCCTGCGCCAGATGGCGCCCAAAGTGCTCTTTGCCGACAACGGCACCGTCTATAACGGCAAGGCCTGGCCGAGCACCGCTAAGACGGACGAGATTGTGGCTGCGCTCCAGCCGACGGGCCTGCAGACCGTCGTCGTCATCAACAATGTTGAGGCCGACCTCGGCCTGCCGGGCCTCGCCGCACACGGCGTCCGCGCCGTCGACTACGCCGCCTTCCTCGACACGGCGCCAACCGATGCTACGCTCGAGTTTGCCCAGCTGCCGGCTTCCCACCCACTGTACGTGCTCTACTCGAGCGGCACCACCGGCCTGCCCAAAGCCATTGTCCACACGGCGCTGGGCACCTTGCTACAGCACAAGAAGGAGCATGTGTTGCACTGCTCGCTGACGCCCGCCTCTCGCATGCTCTACTACACCACCACGTCATGGATGATGTGGCACTGGAGCGTCGGCGCCCTCGCCGCCGGTGCTACCCTCGTCCTCTACTCGGGCTCACCCTTTCGCCCCCACGCCCACCTCTCCCTCCCAAGGGTGCTCTCCGACCTGCGCGTCACCCACTTTGGCACGTCGGCCGCCTACCTCACCGCGCTCGAGGCCGGCAACGTGCGACCTGTCCAAGATAAGACGCTCGACCTCTCGCGCCTCGAGGCCATTTACTCGACCGCCTCGCCGCTGCCGCCTTCCACCTTCAAGTTTGTCTACGAGGCTTTTCCCAAGACGGTCAACCTCGCCTCCATCACCGGTGGCACCGACATCATCTCCCTCTTTGGCGCGCCTTGTCCGCTGCTGCCCGTGCGCGTTGGCGAGATCCAGTGCGCCGGGCTCGGCATGGCCATTCGCGTCGTCGACTCGGCCACCGGTGTCGAGGTCGCGCCCGGCGAGCCCGGCGACCTCGTCTGTGTCCGGCCCTTTCCCTGCCAGCCCCTCACCTTCTTTGGCCCCGGCGGCGAGGCCAAGTACAAGGCCGCTTACTTTGAGCGCTTCGAGGACGTGTGCGGCATCCGCGGCACTGTCTGGCACCACGGCGACTTTGTTAAGATCCCCGACCCCTCCACCGGCGCGCTGCTCATGCTCGGTCGCTCCGACGGCGTGCTCAAGCCCGCGGGCGTGCGCTTCGGCTCTGCCGAGATTTACAACATCCTCACGCGCTTCTTTGCCGCCGACATCGAGGACGCCGTCTGCGTGGGCCGGCGCCGTGAGACGGACATGGACGAGACGGTGTGTCTGTTTGTCGTACCCACTGAGGGAGGTGTCTTCACCGAGGAGCTGCAAGGCCGCATCAAGGCCAAGATTCGCGCCGAGCTCAGCCCGCGCCACGTACCGGGCGTGGTGGCCGCGGCCGGCGGTGGCATCCCCAAGACGGGCAACGGAAAGAAGTAAGTGAATCAGTCTCGATGGAATGCGGATGAAACCAACCCGGGTGCTAACTGACGCGTCGCAGGATTGAGGTTGCCGTCAAGCAGATTCTGTCGGGCATAAATGTCAAGACCAATGCATCCGTGGCGAACCCTGAGTCGCTCGAGTGGTTCCGCGAATGGGCCGAGACGAATTAAGCCCGGCAGATGTCATGAAACAGCGAGTAATGTGAAGAGAGAGGTACAAAGGTTAGAAAAAATAGTGTTGGGAATCTAGAGAGAGGCGTGGAACGAGCCATGATAATGACACACTGCAAAGAAATCATATAGAGCGAGCATGCAGCTTGAAAGGGAGGAACCTCAACGACAGCCAGCATTTTACATAGTATACACTGCAAAGAACAAGCAAATCTTGCCCTCAGGTTATGAGATGAACCACGGCCTGAGTTGTTGCTGGCGTTGAAGCTTCAGGTAACACGAGCAATGTCTCGTTGTGCAACCGTCTTGGCATGTTCTTCGATGGCTTGCCAAGACATGTATGTGACACTGTGACTGTGACACCCGATCTTGTTGTTGCCATTCATCGTTTTCTTCAAGAGGAAACAAGGCTAATAATAGCCAAGGCTGAGAATGCAAGGAGACATGGCGCAGCGAAAATAGAAGCAATGACTTGCCAGTTCATCTAGCAGTAAGGCAAGTTCACTATCGAGCAAGCGCATCGAGATAGATTGTAACAAATTGTTGATCATCTTTCTTGTTGCCGTTGCGTTGCGTAGCATTGGAAAAGATGGAACAAAGCGGGTTCAGTCCCGGCGAAGAGGAACGATGGATATCGGGATTTGATGTGGTGAGACACGAGCGGTGATCCGGTGCGATTGGAAAGGAACCGCCAAGCCTCTCGCCTACATGTATACTATTATAATTTAGTTAGGACTCCAACATCTAGGTACGAATTAGTTGGTTAATAAGTTGGAGACGACTGCCGTGTGGTGCGTGCCATCGGAAATGGCCAACACGGTCAGGGGCTCAAACTGAGACATGTGCTCATGCCGGTGACGCTGGTTCCTGGGGATATGTAGAGACTCTCCTGCTTGCCGTTTCATTGACTCTGGGGGGCACATGCTACATGCTACGCGTCGCAGCTAGCCAAGACGTGTCTGCCGCGGGTATCAAGTGTCAACGTAGCGGAGAGCAAGACTGTGCTGGACCCAGTAGGCAAAGTGGACAGGACTCACAAGAAACTACCTACCTAGCTAGGTAGGTACTGTACCTGGTAGTGATCGAGGGAAGGGGAGATTGAAGGGAAGCCACTGAGCTTCTGGAAGAACTGCAATGGGCCGCCTCCGCGGTGAATGCAACGTCAATAAAGGAGGCGGTCGTTTGGCGAGATGGCAGGTCCCTTGTTCCGAGTGTGACTAGGGCGAGGCTCACCCCGATTTTTTCGTTTCGTTTGGTAGCGTTGTGTCAAGGCATGTACGGATACTTGGAGCGATTTCCATCTATTCAGCTGAGCAACTAGTTTAGACCCCATCCTTGGGTCAATCGAAATTTGTACAGATGCCTTGCGTATTGAGATGCTGTACTCTGTCATACTGGGTATAATTGATGCGGCGTGTTCGTAGTCAGATTCAGCCGTGCACCAGCCTGGCAGACATCTGAGAAGCAAGACCTCAAGTGGGCTTGGTGAGCGGGTCGAGTTGCATGTCGAAATTGCTCTCCTTTTGCAGTGTAATTTTACTCCTGACGGTGAAGGCGCGCAGGGATTGTCGCCGCGCGAGCTAGTAGAAAAGTTGAGAACGCCGTCGTTCCGACACGGAGACTTGCCGGAGACGTGTCTGTCGTTTGATCAATAGTGAGCAAGCACACCACCGTGTTAGCAGAGAGAAAAAGAAACGAAATAAAGTGGTGATTGTTTTTGGGCGAACACAGCCAAGCAGTTGTTGTGCTCTAGTTTGCTACCGCCAAGCCGTATTACAACGTAGACGGGTGCATCTAGCGATGCATGATGGGAAACACGTAACTACTACGTATTATATGTAGCAACTCCGTATTATTCTTCAGATGAGTGGTCGAGGGTTATCTCTCCAGTGGTACATACCATCCCATCTGACAGGTGGCTTGCAGCAGGGAGACGGGGATATGTAGCTATCTGGTTCGTCGGCAAAGTACTCGGTAGTAATGGTGGTATTCGATGGTAGACATCTAGATGCGAGGTCTAATACTGAGCACGTCCACTGCCGTTTGACTCGTTGCTGGGGCCAAGATGAACCCGAATTTGAGCAGTCAACGGCATTGAAGTCGTGTAGCAGGGATCGGTCGGTATTATTAATGCACGTTGACAATAGAGGTAGGGAGCCCCGTTGATTGCGGATGAGGCTTGATGTGTGGGCGATGATGGGGAGGCGATAGTTGATTAAGTTATTAGTTAGTGGGAAGAACTCAGAAGCGAAGGAAGGGAGGAGCAGTGGCCGATAGAGCACGGGCCACTGACCTAGCCCTAGCACGTTGAGTTCGGGTTCAGACGGTACGTGTCTAGCAGTTGGACGTTGAGTCCACCATCTCAGCACTGAGATGTGCTACTTATCATGTCTTTCCAGTTTTGAGTTTCTATTTCTGCCGTCATCATCAGGATGGCTACTGGTAGGCGAATGGGCCGGATAGCGATGCTGGCGAGGGAAAGCACGAATACAATTGAAAACATGGACACCACTGACTTGCTGTGAGCGCTAAAATGGCCCCTGTCTGCATTGAAGCTGCACGCTGCACACCACCAACAGCTCCCGACTTTGCCAATCAACTACTCGGTACGGATATTACTGACGCACCCATGCATTTATTAGTAACCTACCGAGCTGCTGCTGCTTGGATGCAATCAGCCCAATGATGTGCAGAGGCTGCACGGCAGCGCAAGTCATCCAGAGCCAGCCGTCCGTCGGCCCGCTTGGAGCGCAACTTGAGACAGGTACCCGGTGGCACTAACGGGATGGCAGAGAGATACATGAGATTTGGTAGGCTGCTCCGCACACGCGGCGGTACCGTGCAGTGCCGCAGTGACAGGCAGGATACCGTAGTTAGTACTCCGTACATAGTTACGAAGCAGAAATAAAAAAGGCCGGGCCTCCTTTTCTGAGACCAACTATCGAGTGTGCTTTGCCAGCTGTAGAGTAGCTTACTGGTAATAATAACTACCCGTTAACATGGAAAATTGTCTGATGGAAAAACTGTCTGAACCATCTAAGCCGTTCCCCCGTGTGGGACCTTTTCCCCTGACCATGATGAGCCAGGGACCTTTTGTACTGCTCTACAGCGTTAGACTGTACACGCCAGCCAGACGAGGTATTTTCACGCACAAACGGTCTTGAAAAGTCCAAAAAGGCCGGCGAACACAGCAAGTATAAAATCGTGCGGCTTGTTGGCCTCCGTCACACGCAATTGCTTGTGCGCCGTGGGAGACCTGGCGAACAGATACCTGCAACTACCAGGCTGTTGTTGATGGGCCAAGACAGCCAAATTGGGGGCTCCAGGCATGTACGTGATGGTAGGCGCTTAGCTGGTTAGTACCTATTCCGCTTCCCTGCGGGCGGAGGTACTTTGTGATTTCATTAGGGGGCCAGAGGAAGCATCCGCAGTACAACATGGGGGGCCTTGCACCCATCGAGCAGACGCAGCTGCGCATTGAGATGCGATGTGGTGCGAGCGTCCCAAAGAAAGAAAAGGGCTCTGAGTTGATGGGGTCGAAATAATCAAGTCTCGTTAGTTATTGTCCTTTTTGGTCGGTATTTGCTTCGACGGTTGAATGCTGGCCATCCTCGACACCTCAAAACCCATCTTCCCAGTCAACGAAGCTTTGGTACCAGGTAGATAATGATACCTGCTAAAATCGCTAGTTAGCTTGCCCACATCCACCTTGCCATCGCGGGTCCGTCACCTAATACCTAATACTTGGAGTATTACTCGGGGTACTTGTACCAAAGCGGCTCACTGCCCCAACCTTAAAGTATCTTCTGGTAAAGGCACCGCCCGCCCCAGCCTTTGCTAGCGCCTCGCTCGCAAAAAAATGCCCTGCGCCAAATTTGTCTGCAGCCCCAGCCAGCTCGCTGCTCTCCCCAGCAAAGCAGCAAAGCATCAGCTAGCCTGCTTGCCTGCTAGCCCAGGCCCCTCTCCCTCTCTCCATCTCCAGGCCCCCCATTTCCCTCTCTCATTCCAACCAGCAGAGCCATCCAGAAGCCTAGCCTCGTCGCCCAGCCCAGCCTCTCTTCATCCCGTCCATCCTCTCCTCCTCCTTGTCCGCCCTTGTTTGCTGCCGCTTCTGCCACTGCTGCCGCTGCCGCCAACTCATCAGTCTGCTCACGCGTCGCTCGCTCGCCTCCTGCTTGCTTGCTCTCCACCTCGACTAAACCATCAAACTCGCATCGACTCCCATTGACCACGACCAACGCCCCCCCTCCTGCCCCGTCAACCTCCGA